AGGGGCAATATGAATGGCTGAGACAAATTACTATCTTCTTATTAAGACAGCTCTGCCATTATGCAGATTGATAAATGGGAAGGGAAAGAAGAGATTTAAGAGAATGGGGATGTAAGAGATAAATGATAAAAGAGCTAAAAAAGAAAATAGCTGATACTTTCAGAGAGTAACACCATGTCTGTGAAGTAATATGCGGGTCTTCTGTATAAGTGTAGGAAGTAGCCTTTGAAGGCACTTTCTTAAGGAGAGGTAAAACAAAAAAGGAGAACATTCTCATTTGTAAGTTCAGGTTAACCATTTTCTAGAACTTCATAGCTCTTATTGTCAGGGCCTCCTCTGAAACAGCAACTTCACTTGGATATGCGTGATTCTGAATCACATGTTTTGTGATGCAGTGACAGATACTGTTTTTCTGATTGAGAAAACAGTTTGGGTGGCTGTTTTGTGCTGTCTTAGATTGATTATTAGAACATTTGGCCAGTCTTTGTGCACTTCAGTACTGTTTGTTTGTTCTTAGTGCTCCGTATTTGTTACCAGCATCTAGGCATGCGCTAGTGCTTAGAGGCCAGTAAAGTAGGAGATGGAGAAGTCTGTATGTGGAGAAAGAAAGCCTCCCATGGGTCTGTAGGTCTGATTTGGTGGTAGTGTGCTTGTTACATACACACACGGCTCTGGGTTCCACCTTTGGCACCATAGTAAAGAAGTGCTCAAATGTAAGCTTTTTGGCTTCTCTTTAAAATTACATTTAAGTACATGCTTTTAAAAAAAAAAAAGGTCAGCAGGACAGTGGTGGCTCATGCCTTTGAACCAGCACTAAGGAGGCAGTGGCAGGCAGATCTCTGTAAGTTTGAGGCCAGCCTGGTCTACAGAGTAAGTCCAGGACAGTCAAAGCTGCACAAAGGATCCCTGTCTCAACAAAAAAAAACAAAAACAAAAAACAAAAACCCTCTGGGGTCTGGATGTGCCTTGGCGATAGTGCGCTTCAGCTGCGCCCCCAGTCAGGCAATCTGCAGGGTCTTCTGGAGCAGTAGCAGAAGAGAGGGAGCTCTGTCTTGCTTATTTGGGCTCTTTCCCCTGTGTACAACACTGGTAGCCTCTTCTGAAGTGTCTGTGTCTTGAGATCCTGCCTTCTGTAGTAGAAGCACTCAGAGGTACTAAAGCTCAGCAAGCTCCAGCCCCCTAATCCACTAAGAATTTGCCCAGGCAGCAATTTCCCTGTAAAAATAGGCATTTGGCTAGATGTGGTGATGTCTGTCTGTAATGCTAGCATCAGGAGTTCAAGGGCATCCTTGATGACAGCATATTCAAGGCCAGCCTGGGCTATATGAGACCCCGTCTCAAAAACAAACAAACAAAAAAACTTATGTTTTATTAAATAAACTATCCTCTGATGTGTATGTCAGTATTTTGTATTAATAAGTTGATATTAGTAACTAAAGTAGTGTTTCACTTTAAAAATAGATTAAATACTTGGATCCTCAAAAAACATCCTTTACTGATGTTTCAGTAAAGCAGTTGAATCTTGCTGTATGTGACTTTGCTATATTGGAGGTATTGGAACCATAGTTCCTTTTTCTTAGAAGCTATGTAACATGACATGTAGCAATTGATAGCATGATTCAGTCAAGTCTTTTCTATAGATGTTTCTGTTGGAATCCAGTAATGTACCATTGACTAGAGAGTTTTCTCCTGTCTTTGAGTTTCAGCAAGAACTCTTAGCCCCATAGTTGTGGTTGTTGACGCTTTTCCAGAAAGTTCTAACTAGTGTGCTTGCTTCTGCGGTTGTTTATAGTAAAGAGCTCAGATGTAGAAGTGCTGTTCTTAATTGGCATGTTTTTAAATGGGCACAGTAGTAACGCCTGCCACGGAATTATTTTTACAGGACAAAACCAAAAAGAAGAGGAAGCATAAGAAGCACAGCAAGAAGAAGAAAAAGAAGGCTGCAAGTTCAAGCTCAGACTCGCCATAGTGTCCAGGAAGACCAGGGTCCTTACAGAGTGCAATGTCGAAGGAGCTCTCAACTGTGAAGATTATGACATACTTAGTAATGTGCATGAATTCCCTTGTTTTTAGACTTGTCCCGGACTAGTCAGTAGCCACTTGGATTCCGCCGTGTGAAGGGCCATGATTGTTGCCTGCTGCTTGAACACCTTTTCCTCTTCCAGTACTTGCGGACTCTGGGAGACAGGACTTTGCAGTCATAGTAATGGTTATGATATTTGGAATAAAGCTAATATTTTTTACTAGACGTATTTAAGGATAAGTCAACAGAAACTGAATCTGGATCCATCTTTAAGATGTAGCCAGAAATAATGAGATGACTCTAGTAAAAATTTTCAAAGTGGGGATTACATTAATACTTCAAAATCCTTACTCTGTAGATAAGTATATTTTAATTTTTCCCACGTATACTTTGATTTACTTGGGGAAGGAACTTTTAAAGAGGGGGGTGGTTTGCTATCTCTTTAGCTACCAGAACAGCGTGCCTTTGATCTCACACATTCTACTTTTGTGGACACAGTAGCCATGCTTCCTGGGAGGTCAGAGCCGGGCACCGTCAGTCCTGCCTTGACTGAGGTTAATGACATCCTTAGACTTTGTTGTATGCTGCTTTGAATGAACCAGAGAGAGGTACCCGGCCCTTTGCAGCATGAGAAAGCCCCCAAAGCTCTGGGATTTACCTCCACTTCAGTAATAACTGAATGTTGTTAGGGTTAGATTGTGTTATGTCATTTGAGTTAATTTTGACTACACTTTGGCTTTGGAGAGGGATTGTTTAGTTGACACTGGTATTTTCTGAGCTTGATAGCTGACACTTCTAAAGCGCATGTGTTACACAAGTTTTAACCAGTCAGGAGATTTTTATGTAGCCAGTGATAGCTACTTTATGTTTTGTATAAATTTTGTTTAGGCTGCAATGTTTAGCTTTTAACTCCTTATTCTTACTGTCTTAAGTTCATAACTATGTTTAATGACACACAAGATATTTAGCATGTAAAAAGCAGGACTTTTTTGTTTTTAACAGCTTCATATTGAAGCTGAGACTTACCACAAACAAGTTGAGTGGCAGGCCTGGAATGCTGTATCTTGTTACATAAAGCTATTGCCAGAATCTTAGTAAACACAATGTTTTAAAAGTTTGTTGTCTTTGTATATTAATAACAGATTGTGACATGTTAACTTATGTGAGATTACATTACTGCTCTGCCTGTGTCATGTTTTACTAGGATTTTGTGCCTCATATCTCTGCTAAATTATTAGGAATGTTCAAAGGAATTGGTAAATCATTTTCATTTTACACTTTTATATAATCAGGTTATATGAAATATAATGATGTATACAATTTTGCCTGTTTCAGAGGGTGTGCTAATTATAGTGGAATATGCACAGAACATTTTGGCATGAAAAGAGGCTGAATAAATAGCTATTTTACTTAAAAATAGCTGTGCTCTTATCTCCCTTTGGGCCACAGGTAGTTATAAAAGTTAGTGGTTATTACACCCTCAGTTTTGTTTTATTTTGTTTTTCTGAGACAAAGTTTCTCTGTGTAGCCCTGGCTGTCCTGGAACTTGTTCTGTAGAGCAGGCTGGCCTCGAACTCACAGAGAACTGCCTGCCTCTGCCTGTGTAGTGCTGGGATTGAAGGTATGCACCACCATTGTCCACAGGTTTTCAGTGATAAAAATCACACGTTTCTTGGGAGGTTTCTTAAATTTTCCTATTTAAAGGTGCATAGCATTTCCTAATGTAAGGTATCAAAAAGTGTGAGGGACAGGTGATCCGCAAATGTACAAAGGCAGGTTATGGGCTTTTCTAAAGGATGACAGTCACATCCTGCAAGAAGCAGCTGTTCGCTAGCTTCGAGAGGTCATTTAGCAAAATGTTGTGTCTTTTTCAGAGTGTGGTGGTTGTGTACCTTAGCAGTCTCCTTGATTGGCATAAAAAGGGTATTTATAGGGTGTTGCCTTTTACATTAATTCTGTGGTTATGATAATGTGTAAGTTAATAACACATCTTTCCTCCTCCACCACAACTTCCCTTTTTTCTACTTGGGTGATGTTACAGCAGTTTTACAAACATGGCACATCATTTATAGAATGGCACTGTGATAACTGCCAGAAAGGACGAATAGACATTCGTGTGTGTGGAAAGGTTGGGTTGAGTTGCTACCACTGCTCTCTTTTTTGGTCACTTTGGATCCATTTGGTTGGTCTTAGGTGTTTTTAGTAACCTAAGACTCTAAATTTTATTTTATCCAAAATTCAAATTTGAGCTCTTCAGTCAAGATACTCTAAACCCTGATTCTTACTTTCTTGTCATTTTATATAAACAGTATAGTACGAGTATGTGAATTGCTCGTAGCTTTCACACAAGAAGTGTGCCATATTTCGATTTAAAACGACTGGCATTCTTTAGATGTGTTTGTGAGGGGGATTTTGAGAAATCTTTCTTTCCCTTTTCAGTTTATCTCCTTTGTTTTAGAAGTTGCTTCATATTTTACTGAAAACTTGGAGGGACTGAGGGTATGTGTGCATCATACCCTCTGGGTAGATCATGAGATCAGGTGGAGCAAAACCACCACTCCCAAAAAAGATCTTCACTCACCTCTGTGAAGATCAACACAGACTAGAAACTAGGTTCTGTTCCTGGAAGGTCTCACAGCAGAGATGAAGTGGGAGAGTGGACATTTTAGCCAGCACAGCACAGTCACACCATGTTTTCCTACACGCCATTGGGTCAAAATTGAAAGCAAGAAAGTGGGTTTTGTATTTGAGATGCTCCTGTCTGTGAGGCTGTGTGGATCTCATGAGAAGATGCTTGATGACTTGAGAGTAGGTGTCAGCCTTCAAAGGATCTATTGATAGCTTGGAAAATTACTGCAATTTAAAGAAGGGTTTTGTGATTTTATGTTCAAATATGGAGAGCAGTGTTTAATTTGCACTGAGGAGAACTATCAATGAAATAGTATGAAATACATTTTACATGATATTTAGCCTCAGAGATAAGGTAAACATTGAAGTGGCTGCAGGTTTTGGATATACACAGCCTCACCAGCTCTCCTGCGTATGTACTGAGCGGCAGCATCTGCCTGTTTATCTTCCCAACTGCCTGAGAACATTCTGTCTGGTTGCTGGGAAGTTGCCGTGGCCACCTTTTGTTTTGGAGCTATAGAGGTAGTGCCAGCTTGAGGCAGAAGCTTGGAAGTGGGCTGTTTGGTAGAGCAGTGCCCTGAAGCCTCTCAGATGGAACAAAGGAAGATGAAGAAACTCGTGGACTCCGTCAGTAAAATTGCCCATAGCTGTAAGTACTGGGCAGCTCTCTAGCTCCGTGATTCAGGGAGACAGACATTGCTGATGGATTAGTTGGGATAGTGGACATGAGCTCTGTAGCCACACACTAAGAGTCCTTTTCTAGTATGGACATATAGAAATACGAGCTGTACATGGTGGCGTACACCTTGAATCCCAGCACCCAGGAAGGAGGCAGAAGCAGGTGTGTCTCTGAATTTGAGGCCAGCCTGATCTACACTTTGAGCTCCAGTGTAGACAGATGAGGCCCTGCCTCAAAAAGGGTGGGGGAGTGGTGGTAAGGGGCTGAGGAGATGGGTAGGACATAAAGCACCTGTCACACAAGCCTGATAACCCGAGTTCAGCCCTTACTGATACACCATACACGGAATAATAATGAAAAGTTAAAAGATGAGCAAGTGAACCGTTACACTTGAACTTCGAAACATTCAAGCCATCTGGCATCCTGTCACATTTGCCCACGTGGGGAGAATGTCCTGAATGCCAAAGAACTATCTGCCATCCAAGCGTAGATTTCATTCTGTTGACAAGAATTTTTAAATTTTACATACTTACTTTGACCAGTTCTCTGTGGTTTCTAGCATAAAACTCAGTTGCCTGTTGCTCTACTTTAGGGGACTAGTTGAAACACGTAAGATGATTTTAGCTAGTGAGGTGGCTCAACAGGTAAAAGCATTGCCATGCCAGCCTGATGGCCTGCACTTGATTCCTGGAACCTGTTGTGGAAAGAGTTCGGTTATAAAATACCTCGAGTCCCTCAAGCTCTTTCTCTGGGCCTCTTTTGCCACCCTGCTATTTAATTCTTGGGTAACCCTTAAAGTTTTATAGATGAAACCAGTAATGAGTACAGTGTATACTGAGTGTTGCTTGTTTGTATGTGTGCACGTGGCACCCACGTGAGGTGGTGTGGTAGGGGCTGGGCAGAGGTTGACTGGCGCCTTAGTCTTTTGTTTCTGTAGGACTGGTCTTTTAAGGTGGTCTCAGCCGAAGCTGGAGCTCCCCGGTTTGCAATTGATTACAGAGATCCTTTGTCCCTGCCTCTCCAGCGCTGGCTACAGTAACTGCTACCCCTGGCTCTTTCCGTGGGTGCTAGGGATCCAAACTCCCACTCTGCAAGTACTTTACCAACCAGGCTTCTCACCTTGTCAAACTCCTGCTTTTTAAAATGGAGCCTATCAGAATGCTGAAAAGGAAAATTTTGTAGGCATTTAAAAATCTAAATTATTCACACTAATGAAACTAGTTTAGCAGTGCCTGCCACACATGTGTTTAATGCCACAATTTGTTACTTGAAAGCATTTACGCAGATAGAAATTTGTAATAAATGATCAGTACCATGTCTTGTCTTTTACAGAGATATTACTGTTTGAAACAAAGGACTGAATCGCTGCATTCCCCCTGCACCCCTCCTTTTTGTCCTAAGTTTTGATGTGAATTCTTCAGCTGTGCTCCTGCTATGCAGAGCATGGCTGTGCCTTGAAGGGTCCCTTTTGTACATTTAGACAGTGACGGATACAGCCCCTGTGCTGGGACCCTGCTCTAGCCAGCTGCCTGTTTTACACTGGCTTACAGACAAATCCCCCAGGGGGAAGATAATCACAGACAGGACCAAGCCTTAGAGTCGGTCATCGGAAGTCACACACGAGTGTGTGCTGGTGGTATTCAGAGCTTTTCCACCGGATTATCATTCTCACATCTGCCCTGCACATCACCATGGACAGTCTGGTAGCTTCTACTTGCTCCCAAATAGCAGGCATGGAGTAATTTGGCTTCCCCTAGGATTCTTAGAAGAACATAGATTTTTATTCTTTTTCTTCGTGTGCAGCATTCTAGACAACTTTCCTGGGCTTTGGTTGAAGCAGTGTTTCTCAACTTTTCTAATGCTGTGGCACTTTGTAATACAGTTCATGTTAAGGTGACCCCCAACCATAAAATTGCTTTTGTTGCTGCTTCATAACTAATGTTGCTATGAATCGTAGATACTTTTGAAGACAGAGGTTTGCTGAAGGGGTCATGACCAACAGGTTAAGAACCACTGGTTTAGAACGTTAGAAAGAATCCTTAGAGTTTATGACATCATGACTAAGGTTCTCTTGTGGTCAACAGACGCTACTAAGTGACTCTTACACCCTCAGAAAGCTAGTGACCTCACAAAGGAAACCTCACAAAATGGCACAACTGTTGCCCTTTTTTCCCCAAGTCAATCTAGAATGCTTTCTTTCTACACTTAGTGTGAATTATTTTTTTTTAAAGATTTATTTATTTATTGTCTATACAATGTTCTGTCTCCATGTACACCTGCCTCCAGAAGAGGGCACTATAGATGGTTGTGAGCCACCATGTGGTTGCTGGGAATTGAACTCCGGACCTATGGAAGAGCAGCCAGTGCTCTTAACCTCTGAGCCATTATTTGATACTGCACTACTTTCTAGAGTTTGTTTGACCAGTAGGGTAGGCTCTAGCTGTGTGTGACCATTGTAAAAATGATTACATTTCAAATTCCACTAGCCACTTTTGAGGAGTCGGTGTCTCCAGTTTGGTAGCATGATGGCTACCAGATTGAACAAGTTCTAGTCCAGCTTTCTAGCTGTTAGGTTACTGGCATTTTTTTTTTTTAATAGGAGTACCAGACATAATCACTTAGACATGCCCCCTTCCAATGCTGTCAAGCAGTAGGGGGATTTCAACCTACAGCAAGGGAAGCCACACAAACTGGACCACACAGGCAGCTTTATACTGACAAAACTTTGCAGCAGCACTCCATCCCTGTGGCATTACTCCCCAAGACACGTGATCATAGTTGAGAAACACTTTACAAAATCAGTCCTAAACTGCTAGACTCCGAAAGCCGTGGAGAACCTGAAAGTTACATAAGAGTTGACATTAGAAACTGCATGAAAAGGATATAGGAAGAGAACTTTGTACTATCCTTGCACCTCTTATGTAAATCTGAAAAAAATTCTAATGTCCAAATTGATCAAATATTAGCTTACTTAAAGCTTACTCCAGCTGGGTTTAGCAGTACATACCTGTTATGACAGCATGTGGGAGACTTAAGATAGGATCATGAGCACAAGGCCAAAACAAACCCAACCTATTCACGAATGTCGCACACCCACATCAGAAGGGGCCGTCTAGGTTTCTTCCCTTGGGACAGCTGCATCCCTTATATGGCACAACCTGTAAAGTCACTGTAGTAATTTTCTTGTGATAAATACCCAACAAAAAGCATGAATGGAAGGGTTTACCTTGGCTCACAGTTTAAGGGTACAGTCCACTGTGATGGAGATGTTACGGTGCAAGCAATGGTCACATTGCATCTACAGTTGGGAAGCAGATAAATGCTGTTGCTCAATTCACTCTCTAGTTAGGTTAGGACCTCACTGGTGGAGTCAAGCAGTACTCGCATTTAGGGTGGGTAACCCAATCCAGAAATTCATTTGCCTCCTAGGGGACTCTAGAATCTGCCAAGTTGATGTGTAATTATTCATGACGAGACACCTATGTAGTATGTCTCGGTTTCTACAACATAAACAATTCTACCTTGATGAACAAGCAAGTGTATTTAGGGATGTGGGTGAAGGCTCTTACATGGATGACTCAAATCACCAAAAAGTCCACCCTGGTATGGGCAGTGAGTGAAGACACCTACATCCTCCACTGCTCCTCCCAGAAGCCTTGCTACTTAACAAAAAACAAAACCAAAACCCAGTGCAGGGTATGGTATACTTCCTATGAGTTGGTTAGAGAGGCCCCAAGACACACTATTGCCATTGCTTTTGGCTCCCACCAGGACTTTGGTCGCAGTACTTGGAGAAATCAAGCTGGAACAGCTGGATGCTTCCTTCCTGCTGGCTAGCCTTCACAGTCCTGGAAGGTGCTATAGCAAGCTTCTGGGGAAGGAAAGCTTTCACCAGTCTTACGTAGCTGTGAACACTAAGAGCTACAATAACAGCCAACCTAACCTAAGATGCGTCCAGTGGTGCAGGAATGACATAGATGTTTGGGAGGTAACCATTTCCGGATTGCAGTCAAGGCCCGCCCCAGAGGCTGAGATGCATCATGGTGTTGTACACCTGATTGAGGGAGATCATAGTACTGAAAGGGGAATCCACTGCTATCATTTACTAAGTGGACATGGTTAAAACACTGTAAATATCTAATGTTTGCATAGAATTAGTGCTGCTCCTGGTCTGCGTCGAAAGAGCCATTGCAATAGGCAGCAGTTAATGTAGTCAAAGTTCTGAAATAATGGCAGTAAAGCGGTCAGCCTTAAATGGGTCATCTGCATCACCTCGTTAGGCTCAAGAAACATTACATAAGAGACAAAGAGCTAGAGGATGAGGAAGATGTGTTACAAATGATGCCTTTCTTAACATTGTTCTTCCACTAATGAGACATGTAGGAGCTGTGGTTACCTACACAAGACAGAACCCTGTCAGCATTTCATCACTAAAAAGGAAAAGGCCATGAGCCCTGCCCCCTGAGGGACTGCTGACAGTTAACGGCTGGGAGGAAGGGACACCACTTTCTTGAGTGGTATCGCCATTGGTAGGTTACCCATGCTGCTCTGGGTAAACAGCCTCCCACGCATGTTCATGCAAGCAACCCTAATCAAACTCATGGGGCACATACAGAGAAAAGACATGAAAGTGGGAGAAAAGGACATGGGGAAATGGAAAAGTTGCATCCTTACAGGCAGCTCAGTAAGAGAGTCCCTTCTAAAGCACTTGTCACCACTTAGAAAACCTTAAGGAAGAGTTTAAAAACACAAATTTCAGGTGCTTCCTCAGACTTCCTGAACTTTCTCCATTTCACTTACTTCCTTGGTTTGAATGAGTCTCCCGCCAGGAGGGAATGGTTCAAGTCAGAGGAAATGGCACATTGACAGTTGACAATTGAAACTATCTTTCCGCCACAGAGCCTCATTTTTACTGTATTCTGTTAGCTGAAACAATCACTGTATTTTCTTTTTCTGAGCCAGGGTGTGATTGTGTACCCCTGGCTGTCCTGGAACTCACTCTGTAGACCAGGCTGGCCTCGAACTCACAGAAATCCACCTGCCTCTCCCTTCCAAGTGCTGGGATGAAAGGTCTGCACCTCCACACCAAGCAAATCTCACTAGTTTTAAAGGGAGGCTATTTAGACCTTACATTTCTAGTGAAAATTAAAATCACAGCTGAAGGCAATAGACCATGCCTGTAAAACTAGGACTTGGGAGACTGAGGCAGTAGATCAAGAATTTCAGGTCAGCCTGGACTACATGATGAGACCTTGTCTCAAAAGTGTGTGTGTGTGTTAGATTATTATGATCACGTAACAATACAAAACTCTGATTTTCCACTCAAAAATCATTTCAAGAACATGTTATGAAAGTGGTTGTCCTTAAATCCAAGCCCTGGTTATCAGCCAGGATCGTTGGTAAGATTTGTATTGTCTGTATGATCTGCCATCTTGGTTGGGCCCATTTGCTGCTCACAGAACTCAGAACCTCTAAGCCTTCAAGCTGCCTTCTAGATAAAGTTGCTTGCTCCTTTGACACAGCTCCAGTGACACCTTCACTTTGGGTATTTCTTAATGTCTCAGCACCTTCTCTAGCTGATTATCTCTCCCTTTGGTTTGTGATTTACGATAATTATGTATGTATTTGTTTATTTACATATTTATTTATTTTACTTATTTACTTTGGTTGTTTTGAGACAGGATTCCTTGGCTGTTCTGGACTTACTTTGTAAACCAGGCTGGCCTCGAACTCACAGAGATTCATCTACCTCTGCCTCCCTGAGAGCTGGGATTACAGGCGTGCACCACCACGCCTGGCTGCAATAGTTTATTTAACTCTTCACGTTTCTTTTGAGAGGATTTGGAGATCAAACTTGCTAGGCAAGTGTTCAACCCCTGAGCCATTCCACAGCTCCTTAGGCTTCCCTTGACAAGTCTGCAGCAGCCTCGAGGGCAGGAGTGCTGTCTTTATCAGCTCCCTGGTTCATGGGCTTCCCTTAAAAGACTTACACAACGAACAGAAATAGCCATTGCACCCTGTATTTCAGGGCCACACTGGTATAGCATGAAATTATATTAAGGAGCATGAGATTTTAATTTGGTCTACAAAATAAGTGTTATTAGGCACCTGTGAAATTGCTTATTCTTTAGGTTAACAGTCGCTATCCTAGGAAGTACGGTCTTCAAACCACACAGAGCCCCACATGTCCATTGAGTCTTTGGCATACTCACTGCTTTCGTGTGGGCAACCTAAAGTCATTCCAAAGATAGTACTGAAATAGTTCTTCCCCTCACCTACCTCCACAAACAGGAGGAAAGGATCAAGGAGAAAGAAAAGATAAAAATGGCAACCAGCTCTCACTCCTTATTTCAGGTCTCTCAAGTAGCTGTGGGGTCACAGAATGACACATTCAAGAGACTGAAGAATCGGAGATCACTCAGCACAGTTCTCCCCTAGAGAGGGCACTGAGGAGTTGTTAAGGCCTACCAGTTTCAGATAACAAATGGGGGCTAGACAGATGTCTCTGCGTTTAAGAGCCCTTGCTGCTCTTGCAGAGGAGGCAGACTCCAGTCACCTGGTGGCTCTCAACCATCTGCAACTAGTTCCCGAGGAGCCGATGCCCTTTCTTAAAGGCACTGCACACACGTGGTACAGATACGCAGGCCGGGAAGACACCCTTATACCTATGCACAAAACCAAGATAGATGAACACAGCCCAGATGCTTAAAGTCTAGTCTCTCCCCCCCCCCAGGTAAAATGTCTGGTTCCTGATGGCACCACAGGCACCTGTGTGTGTCTGAGCATCACCATCTAAGTCTGGAGTGAGCTGTGTGTGAATATTCCAAATTTCTAGTTTGCAGGCTGCAGAGCTGGTAAACCAGTTACAAACTACTCAGTAAGAACTCACACCCGGCCATCTGGTGTCCTAAGAACTAAATAGCTGCACTGAGTCTCAGTGGTTAAGTCTACAGCTCATCCGTCTTCTCATTTTACAGTTAAGAAAAGTGAAGTTGAGTGTCTCATCCAACTCTTCGATAGCTTGGTGGAAAAACAGGGTGGAAAGATTGCTAATGGCCAGCTGGACCGAAACACATTTCGAGGGATCCTATACAACATATTCGGAATGACTGATGACATGTTGATGAACAGGGGTAAGAAGTCGCAACAAACCAAAAACGTACCACCCGAGAGCTGAATCGGCCTGATGTCCTCTTCACAAGACTGGACTTTTCTTTTGATGCCAAACTAGAAAGAAGTTATGGCGATAGGAGAGTGCTGCGAGCAGAACCCGGGATGATTCTGATGATGGTTTTTTTTTCATACAAACCCACTCAGAATTTTGTGGCTCCTGTCAGGGAAGTTTTGAGAAATAGTCACCACTGAACTAAAGAATCTTGCGGTAATTTTTAAGGATAAACAGCCACAGTTGTGAATCATAAAAGTACATGCCACCAAATGTAAATCCTTAATTTGTCTTTTTTTTTCCTTCATAGAAATATGTTAGTGGGCTGGAGAGATGGCTCAGTGGTTAAGAGCACTATCTGCTGTTCTAGAGGTTCTAAGTTCAATTCCCAGCAACCACGTGGTGGCTCCCAACCATCTACAGTGGGATCTGATGCCCTCTTCTAGCATGCAAGTGGCTTATAGATTGAGCACTTATATATGTAAAATAAAAATTCTTTAAAAAATAAAAGAAATGTGGTAGTACAAAAAAGATAACTCCTTATACTAGAAATACTGAAAGTCGGATTTCTAAAACAGGAAAATGATTAGTGTAGACAGTTAAGTTCTATGGTAGATCACATTTTGGTAAGATTTGCCACATGCATGCCTGTGAAACCATCGCTATACCTGATCCATGGAGATAATTAATGGTAAAATTTAATTCTCAAAAGTAAAAAGTGCTGAAAATGTAGAATTTCCACAGTATCTCAAAGTAAATTACTAATGTTGAACATTATTTTAAGTTCTTCTGTATTTATTGTTTGTATGTGTGCCATATCTCTCATCTCCAGGGGACAAATTACATTTGAAGTTCTTCTCTAAGATTGTAAAGTTTCATTGGTAACTTTAAAAATTGGGCTGGCAGGAAAACGTACTTGCTCAACTCTGGCAGCCTGAGCTGTGATCCCAGAACCAACCTAACGTGGGAGAGAACCAATTCCACAAGCCTGTCCTTTGACCTTCATGCAAGGGCCACATGCATGGGTATGCACACTAAAACACACACAGAAAAACTTCAAGTAATGCTTAACATTAGTGATTTACTTTGAGATATTGTAGAAATCCTGCAACAGATTTTTCACCACCTTTTTTGAAAATTAAAATTATGTCATTAATTAGCTCCATGGATTTTCTTGGCCCTAACAACTGTATAAAACCTCACAAATGAGGATCATTATTACTCATCATGTGGAATGACTCTTCTGATTTAAAATTTCAGGGGGAAAAACACATTTCTAATAACTTAGAGTCTTTCAAAGAAAACACTACCCATCCCCAATAAGAAGAAAAGTTCTATGGAAACGCGGGGTGGGCATTAGAAAACAAGTGAGATTACAACACACTTACAGGGTCTTTTTCTTTTTCAGTGTTCTTCGTATTTGACAAAGACGGTGACAACTATATAAGTATACAAGAGTGGGTGAAAGGCTTATCAGTGTTTCTCCGAGGGACTTTTGAAGAGAAGATAAAATGTAAGAAGGGGTGACATACCAGTCAAGTCTGTGTTGAGTATGCTGACACAGTGACAGAGCCATCACCCCAAAGGGACAAGAGAGAGTTTATTCTGGAGCTTAAGAGTGACCACAAACCAGCAAGAAACGATTCTGATTCACCCAAATTTCACATTCTGATGGATGAACAATTTTGTGAAGCTTCTGTAATAACAAAACAACAAAGTCATAAAACAAAACCACCTTTGAAATAACATTGGTAGTGATGGTAGATGTGTGGTCAGAGCATGTTACAGACCTGTTACAGGCCTTGAGTGCTGTCTGATGGATTCTCAGCTTCTGGCCTGGTGGGGACAGTTCCACAGGGTTTACATCATGAGGATGTTAAGTCACGTAGAGGTGGAAAATAAATGTCCACTTAAAGGGGTTAAAGACAGCCCAAGGTCATTTGTAATTACGATCTAGACCCAAGACAGCCCCCAAATTACTCAAGTTCTCATATTAATTGGCCTTTGTAGATGTAGCTTCTTTCCAGGAATGTTTGTTCCCGAGTGAATGCTTATCTATTTAAAACTATGACGTCAGTGTTCTCTAAAACAACCTTGCAAAAATGCCTTATGACATCTCAACCAGAAACAAAGGGCCGGCAAGGTGGTTCGTCAGATAAGAGCGCTTGCCACCAAGGCTGACAGCCTAAGTAAGATGCCCAGAACTCACCTGGTCGGGAGAGAACTGGTTCCTGAAAGTTATTCGCTGACCTCCATCAGCTTGTACATAAGTACATGCCATGCACACGTAAATGTAAAAAACAAAACACAAATGATGAATTGGGGTCAGGCTCCCTGGCACTCGCCTGTAATCCCAGCACTCTGGGAGGCAGAGGCAGGCGGATCTCTGTGAGTTCTTGACCAGCCTGCTCTACAAAAAGTGAGTCCAGGACAGCCAAGGCTACACAGAGGAACCCTGTCTCAAAAACAAACAAACAAAAAAGATGAATTGGAGACCCTTGTGACCATTTCATTTACTGAGCCTGTAATGCTCGGCTGCCATGAGGGTGGGTGTTCCAAGGGGTGTTCCAGCCCTCACTTGACTCTGGATTTGTGACACTGAAAAAGGAGAGGCCTGGGGGAGACAGGGAAGAGTGGCGCTAGCTGCTCTCCCAGAGCGAAGGCTGGTTCCCAGCACCCACACCACGTGCCTCACAACTGCCTGCAATCTGTCTAGCTCCAGGGGATTCAATGCCCTCTTTCTGGCTTCTGTAGGCACCTGTGCAAACATGACACACGCTCACCTAGACACATACATTTTCTAATAAAATACTTCTAAGCTGAAGACACATTAACCTTGTTATAACAGCATTTTGAACAACCAAGCTTCTCTGACACTTAGTAATTGTGTGCACTTCGGTAGTTTTCCTCCCTTTTTATATTTCATGAGGTAAAAAGTATAGTTCCATTCAACAGTGTTTGGGATCGCAGGGCTGGGCATCGAACCCAGGGCCTCACCCATCTTAAAGCAAGCACTCTAACCCATCTCCTACTCTACTCCACCTCCTCCAACCTTACAGGGTTTTTACACAAGTCTCATTGAGGACGACGTGTCATGGACATCAGTACTTGTGGGGACACTGATCACTAACATAGTTGTGGCAGGGAATAGGGTCACAGGATGAACTAGTGTAACACTAAGGAAGCTGTTCCTTGTCCAGTCCTACTTTCTAAAATGCTTCTTAGGCACTTTAGGAGTTCTGGGGAACATTGTTATCTACAGGAGGCTTGTTCTTCAACTTGTATGTCATGCTATGAACTAGAGAAACTTAACAGAGATACTCATCTGACACTTGAGTTTACTCCTGGTTCTTGCAAAAACATTTAACTAGACTGTTAATAAACTCCAGGAAAGCTATATGCACGGCTGCATTCACAGGACATGAGCTAGGTCACCTCAGATGGAAAGCATGGAGGTTAGTCTCCAGAAGGGCAGACCCCAAGAACCTGACATCATTCATTACTTAAATGTATGGGGGCAGGGAGCTTTTTTCCAAGGAGTCAGTAAAGTATGTGCTTCATTTTTATTTGTTTATTTATTATGTATGCAATGTTCTGTCTGCATGTACACCTGCACGCCAGAAGAGGGCACCAGATCTCATTCTAGATGGCTGTGAACCACCATGTGGTTGCTGAGACTTGAACTCAGGACCCCTGGAAGAGCGGTTAAGTGCTCTTAATCTCTGAGCCATCTCTCCAGCCACATGTGCTTCATTTTTATAGTCAATATGCAGAGAATACAAACACACCACACATATGTATGTAAACACACATGTAAGCATACAAACAAAAGGTTAAAAAAATCGACTTCCTTTATTTGCAGTTTGATAACAGTTTCAAACAAATGCAGGAGCTGTGAGCTGTTCTTTAATCTCCCAGGGGGTATTTAATCCTGTGGAAGGAAATTAAGAAGAAGCACGTTATTATAAAACTCTACCATATAGGGGATCAGATTGATAATCGTATATTAATCCTTTATTACCATGTGCTGAAATAACTAATAGTATTTTGTTCAATTCTTTAAAGTCTGTTTCGAAGTTTATAATTTAACTGGAGATGGTTATATTTCCCGGGAAAAAATTTTTGACATGCTGAAGAACAGTCTCTCCCAGCAGTCTTCTGAAGAGACTGAGGAAGGAATAAAGGAGTTGATCGATCTAACCCTGAAGAAGATGGTAAGCAGGACATAAGGCTATGGGCTGTACAATGACTGCCCTCTATTCATTCATTTGATCATCAGAACTATTATTTCCATGCTGCAGATGAGAAAAACAGAAGCACAGAAACTCACCCTGCAATAAACCTTAGAGTAGTGGCTCCTAATTACAGGAACGGTGATGTCTGCTCTTTTCTTAAATGAACCCTAAACTGTTTTGAGTGAGGTTTTGTGAACCCTGGGCAGCCCGACATCACTGGCATGACTCAGATGCTCAGGGAAGAAACAGCTAGGCATGGTGGTACATGCCTGCAATTCCAGCACTTAGATGTCTAAAGGATTGTGAGTTCAAGACCAGCACCCCTCTCCTCTCTCTCTCTCCTCCCTCATCTCTCTGTAAAAGACAGAGAGAGACAGAGATAGAATTGGGGAAGAAAGATGAGACCCAGATAGTGGAAAGATCAGCGTCTAACCCCTGCAGAATGTGCTCTTTTAGACATAGTAGCCACTGTTGAGGCTGAGTGCAGATGTCTTCATGCCAAGATGTTCCCAGATTCCTTTCCCAGAAGGAAATGTTTACGGTATACACCTTATTTTGATGGCCACTCATACTTTTCTCTAGATTAGGTTCTGAACTTATGTCCCAAAATGAAAAACTCAAGGTCATCTTTTCCAATCCAGTCTGAAGCAGCAGTTTAGAGCACTTGTACTTCACATAGAGTCCCTGACTCTGCTCAGAAGCCTTGTCCAGAACACTGTACTGGCTCACACCCCTGGCTTCTACTGTAATTCACATGGACACTTCTGTGCTTGCTCCCCACACCCCTACTTAAGATCTCAGCCAATATTCAATACCCCATATACCCACATTCCAGCAAAAGCCTACAGCCTCCATTCTGTGACTGTAGTCCAGCCTGGACAGCCACAGCCTCGCTCTTAAGAGCTATCCTTCCTGCCTAATGAGCTGCTTTTGAAGAATAAAATTATGCTCAAAAAATGAGACTTAATTAGTTGCAAAAAGGGAAGAATGTTACTATGGTTCCCCAATTGTTTTGCAGTATTCCTCAATTCCAGTCCCTGTTATTAATAGGGCTGTATTGTGTATGGCTAAGGTGGCTCTGGCTAGAATAATAAATCAGTGACATCTAGTAATAAATACCCATAGATTTGTAGAAATAATATCTTCAGGAGAGCGAACTTAGGATTTTTCTTAGCAGTCTTAGATAGCTAGTTTTTCATGGCAAAATTAAAGAGACTTATATTTATCACAAAATCACCTTTCTCTCTAGGATTATGACAATGATGACAAGATCTCCTTTGCAGACTTTGAAAGAGCAGTGAAAAAAGACCAACTTCTGTTGGAGGTGTTTGGACCATGTTTACCAGATACAAAGGTAGAGTTACATATACTGAAAGCTTAAAGTGGGTGGGGGAAATTTTTCATTAAAATTATAGAATGTTGTCTCTCTGTGTGTGTGGTACACATGCCATGTGCTGGCTAGTTTTCTGTCAACGTAACAGAGAGTCATCTGAGAGGGAACCTCAGCTGAGAAAAGCCTTCCAAAAGATCCAGCTGTAAGGCATTTTTAAAATTAGTGATTAATGTGGGGAGGGCCCAGCCCATTTTAAGTGGTGGCATTGCTGGGCTTGTGGACCTGGGTTCTATTAGAAAGCAGGCTGAACAAGCCATGATGAGCAAGCCAATAAGCAGCATTCCTCCATGGCCTCTGCGTCAGCTCCTGCCTCCAAGCTCCTGCCTCCAAGCTCCTGCCCTGCTTGAGCTCCTGTTTTGACTTTCTTCAGTGATGGACTGTAAATGTGGAAGCAAGCATAAGCCAAATAAAATTTTTCCTACTCAACTTGCTTTTGATCATGGTGTTTTATCACAATACTAGTAACCTAGGACATGCCATAATGCTTGTGTGGAGGTCAGAAGACAATCTGTAGGAGTCTTGTTCTCTCTGGCCATGTGGATCCCAGGGAAGTGTGGTTTTTCGAGACGGAGTTTCTCGTTGTAGCCTTGGCTGACATGGACTCCCTTTGTAGACCAGGCTGGCCTCAAACTCACAGAGATCCGCCTGCCTCTGCCTCCCGAGTGCTGGGGTTGCAGGCATGTGCCACCGTGCCCAGCCAAGTAGGTTTTAAAGCAAGTGCCTTTATGCATGGAGCCATTTTTTTTTCCTTAATTGCTGGCCCAATTAAGGAAACATTTTAATTAGAAAATAATACATGATAGACTCTCACCTTCATAGCTTCAGCCCACTGAAGACAGTCATAAAGCCATTAGCCCTTTTCCAGTTTGGGGCTAAAGATGACATCACTGACTATTTCAGTAATTCTAGCTAACAGACTTTGATTAAATTTGTTCCCTCTTTGGGCACACACAATCCCTATCTTCTGTAAGTATGGAGACACACTTTCCCAAACCCAAACCAGAATATATTATGTTGCTTACACGACAGAACACCAAGAGGAGACTGAGCAAGTAGATTAAGTGCTAGAACACCTTCCAGCCCAACTGCTATCAACCAATGTGTAAAAGGCTTAATTTTAAGAGACTAATGGGTGTGGGAGAGAGCTCAGTTACTAAAGGGCTTCCCAGGAAGCAGAGAACCCGACTTCAGTTCTCAACACTCATGTAAAAAGCTGGGCATGGTGGAATGTGCTTGTAATCCAGCACCGAGAAGGCAGAGGCAGGAGGATCTTGGGGCTTCCTGGCTAGCCAGCTTAGCCCAACTGACAAGTGCCAGGTTGCACTAAGAGACCCTGTCTCAAAAACAGTGAATGTCTGAGAGGGAACGATACCAATGATCACCTCTGGCACTGACACTAACACAAGTGTGTGCGCGCTCTCTCTCTCTCTCTCTCACACACACACACACACACACACACACACACACACACACACACACACACACACGGCAGGACACTCATGAACAGAGAACCCATGTAAAAGCTCCTTCCATGAGGGCCATAAGAGAAGTTCTTGGATCTCCACAAGAAAAGTATCTTTGTAACCATTTTTTAGCAGTATAATTCAATCTCTAAAACGGTTTCATCTTGTAGAAATGCAATTCAGTTACCACTAAAAAAATTCCTATTCTGCCTCCCACCATTATCGCCGCATTTAAGAGCGTCCTGAGATAGACACACACAGCACTCCACAGCTGCACAGCCTGGTCCAGGTGGCATTTGTTCTTTCCAAGCTCCGTGTGTCATAGACCATTAATATGGCTTTGACCGGAGATTTCAGCACAGCAGTCTCCTGTCACCACCTCTCATGCACGCAGAACCCTGGCTGGCAGGTTCCTGAGGCATCATCAGCACCGAAAAGCCACACTGGCAACTGAAGTAAGCCTTATTCAACATGGCCACATACAACCCCTGACAGAGGCCCCTCAGGGTGAGAAATGACATGCACACAGCAAAAGCCTTCTGGGTTTATTTTTTCCAGAAAGGAAAATGGAAATGGTATGGACAAAAGTACAGGGTCCATTGATGGGAGAGAAAGTACAGACATGCTGACAGGTATAGAAATCTGGAATTTCCATAATGGATTAGTTTTTAGATGGCTGTGGTTCATGTACGTTATTCTTAGAAGTTAAAATATTGTGTATGTTTCACATATCAACTTTGTTCTAACATTTATTGACATTTTTCCTTACAGAGTTGCCTTCATTTTGAAGCCCTGGTATTCAAAAACAAAATGCCTGCAAGTCTTTGAACACAAATTGCTCAGTATTTGAATTAAAGCAAGATCCTGAATGCCTTTATTTGCATTATAGATTTTTATATTTGTTTCCATCAATTTACGTATTGTAACATAAGAACTAATATGGTGTGAAAAGAACAGTTTCTGCCAAACTGAGCGCAGATCCAAAAAGATGGGAACATCTGCAAGCAGTTAAAACAAAACAAAACAAAACAAAACAAACAAACAAACAAAAAAAAACCCTTTAAAATAGCAATAGTAAGAATCTTAAAGAATTAAAATGGGCTAAACATATAAAAGAATCTGTACCAGAAAATGCCAATTTATCTGGGTGTGATAGCACACACCTTTAATCCTAGCACTCAGGGGACAGAGTCTTAAAGCCAGCCTGGTCTACATAGTGAGTTCCAGGCCAGCCAGGGCTATCCAGGGAGACCCTGACTTAAAAGAAAAAAGACAAGACAAGACTACTCCCTGCTGGCAAGCTATATTCTTCTTCTTTGTTTTCGTGGGTGACTTGTACACATGTCTTCCAATTTGTCCTCTGGAGGCTTAGGCACAGATGAAATCACCTAGTTTAAAAAGAAAAGAGAATCACCAAGCAGTAGAAAGCAACAGTCAGTAAATATTGGGACAGAAGTGAATAAAATGTAGACTAAGAGGACAACAAATAAAACTAACCAAATAAGGACTTGGTTCCTTCCAAATTTAAGATTAACAAACTATGAGAAGGGAGGGAAGGGGGAGATGGGGAGAGAAAGGACAAACATACCAAAACAACCACTCACACAAACAAACAAAACAAAACAAACAGAAAGGTTACAACAGATTCCAGCAAAAACAAGAGAATCATTTGGGATCTCTTCGAAAACATTTCTAAAACCTGAAAAATCTAGAAGAAGAAAGGGATAAATCCCTAGGAACATATTGATGGACCAGCCTGACCCATCTTAAGATTAGGAGCCATCTTGTTACAAGGTCAAAATGAATTCATTCCTGTTTTCTGTAAGTTTGACCATGCCTTGACCCATTTTCTGGAATTTGACATGTTACACACCCTCTACCCTGACCTCCACCCTGATGAGATGTTCTGCCAAGTTCCTATGTAATCAGAATTCCTCTGGGAATCCCCCAACCCCTGAAACCCTCCTAGACTTGTCGTTCTTGAGCTGTACAGACCTCACTTTCTCTGTGTTCAATGCTGACTTTCAAACCTCACTTTAGAGAGACAGCCTGTCTGACAGGAAATAAATATTTTGTAATTCAACAAATGGGGTTAACAATATGATTTATTCAAATTAACTCAAGAAGAAGATATAAACATTTTAAATATATCTTTGACAAGCAACAAAACACTAACAAAAGTCCCCAGAAAAGTAAAGTCTAATGGATTTGCTGCTGAATTCCACTAACACTTAAAGAAGAGCTAACACCAACGCTCTTCAAACTAGTTTAAAAAGCAGAAGCATAAGGAAGGGACAATAGCAACTCATCCTGTGAGGCCAGCATCACTCTAATAACAAGTCATACAGGACACAACAAATAAGGAAACTATAGCCCAATTCCTCAGATCAACATGTAAGTAAAAATTCTCAATAAAATTACTGCAAATTGAATTGAAGAACACATTAAGCTCATACAACCATGACAAAGTTAGTTTTATTCCAAGACTTCCAGGAAGGTCCGACGTAGGCAAATCATAAATACAGGACACAGACCCACGAACAGCAATATATGTTTACTTTAGTAGATACTTAGCAGTAAAAGCATTTCCTTTAATATCAGGGAAGGAGACAAAGGTGTCCATTCTTTTCCCTCTTATTATTCAAAATAGTATTGTCAGTCTAAGGCAGGGCAATAAGACAAAAAAAAATAATAATAACAAGAGGAAGGTAGTCATATTATTTCTATTCACAGCCTATACAACTCTAAACTTAAAAGACTCTTAAGATTCAACCAGAAAACTCTTAACTCTGATAGGCACTTTCATGAAAATATGAAATCAAACAAAACAGTCACTTTTCTATAAAGCAATAAACTTGCCAAGGAAATAAAAAAAAACGGGAAAACTATCCCATTTACAATCAATAGCAACAAAACCAAGTGGGTTTGGAGACGGCTCAGTTGGTAAAGTGCTTGTCATGCAAACACAGAGACCTGAGTTCTGATCTCCAGCCCCCACATGAAAAGGCCAGGTGCACTAGTACGCATCTATACTCTCACACTGGGAAGACAGATGCCAAAGGATCCCAGCAGCCTGCTGGCAGCCAGTCTAGCCAAATCAGGGAGCTGTCTCAAAAAATAAGGTACAAAGTGCCAGAGGAAGCCATGTGCACACATACATGAACATATACACACACACATACCACACACTTAAAACAAACGCAGGAAGAAATTTAACCAGAAGGTAAAAGACCTCTATAGCCAAACATATGTATAGCAAGAAAAGCCACTATTAACTGGCAAGGCCACTTATGTTCATGGACTGGCAGAAAGAATTTTAACAATCTGTAATTGTTATTTGGCCTCATCCCACCCACAGCACGGCTCACATGAAGGACAACCTGTGGGAGCAAGACAGAACACAGGTTGTCAGGCTCGCAGCAAGTGCCTCTACCCACTGAGCCATCTCACCAGCCCCTAGCACAACTAATAATTTAGTTTTTTGAGACAGGGTTTCTTTGCGTAGCCTTGGCTGCCCTAGAAGTAGCTCTGTAGACCAGACAGACTGGCCTCGAACTCACAGAGATTCACCTGCCTCTGCCTCCCAAGTGCTGGGATTAAAGGTATGTGCCATCACTGTGCGGCAGAATTAATTTTTAAAACTACATTTATTCATTTATTTGTGCATGAGGGAATAAATATGTGCCATAGCATGTATATGAAGGCCAGAGGCAAACCTGTGGGAACTGGCTTTCTCCTCCTATCATGTGAGTCCTTCGGACTGAACTCAGGTTGTCAGGCTTGTGGAAAGTACCTTTACCTGCTGAACCATCTCACTGGCCCTGGCAGAATTAATATTGTAAAGATGACTGGAGTTCCAAAAGTGATCTCTAGAATAAACACAATTCCTATCAAAATATCAAAGACATCTTTCTTAAAGCTAGATAAAAACAACAACAACAACAAAAAAAAAAACTGCCCTAAAATTCATATGGAGGTACAAAAGGCTCTTGAAGAGTTAAGCAATCCTAAGCAGTAAGAACAAGGCTAGACATGTCACACTATCTTATCTCAAATCACAGAGCCACAGTGACAAAGTGTGCTGCCTACTCTGTCAACTTGATACACGAACTAGAGCAATCTGAACGGAGGGAACCTTGATTGAGAAAATGCTTTCAGGAGATCCAGCTGAAAGGCATTTTTAATTAGTTTTAATGAAGGGGGCCCAGCCCACTGCAGGTGGTACCATCCTGCCTGGACTGGTGGTCCTGGGCTCTATAAGAAAGCAGGCTGAGAGCAAGCCATGAGGAGCAAGCCAGTAAGCAGCACCTCTCTATGGCCTCTGCATCAGCTCCTGCCTCCAGGTTCCTGCCCTGCTTGAGTTCCTGTCCTGACTTCCTTCAATAATACACAGCAATGTAGAAGTGAAAGCCAAATAAACCCTTTGTCTCCAACCTGCTTTTTCATCAAGGTGTTTTATCACAGCAATAGAAACCCTAAGACACAAAAGAAGCCTAGTATGGATAAAAACAAGAATGCACAACAGTGGAATAGAACAGAGGATCCAGAAATAATCCCACACAGCCACAACCACAGAATTTTTGACAAAGCTATCAGTGACATGTGGGGAAAAACAGCCTTTTCAATAAAGGGTGCTAAAAAACTGGATTTCCACATGCAGGAAAATGAAGACTTGATCCCTATCTCTTGCTACACACACACCCCAATTCAAAATGGATTGAGAACCAAATGTAACAAGCTCTGAGACTGCCAGAGGAAAACAAGAAGAGCACCTCAGGGCAAAGACTGCCTAAAATAGACCTTAATTGAACAAAGTGACTGACTAATGGGATCACATGGAAGTGAAGAACTTCGCACAGCAACAGACTAATCAGAAAAGTGAAAAGAGCCTGCAGAATGGGGAATCCTGGCCTCACTATACAAATGAGGAGTTACTATAGAGAATCTGTAAAGAACTGCAGAAGTAATAGGCTAATGAGTTAAACAGATCGCAAAGGAAGAAATACATACGGCCAATAAATATTTGAAAGTGTTCAACATCATTAGCTGTCACGAAAATGCAAAAGAATATATTAGGATGCTATTTCATCTCAATTAAACAAATGCAAATTGAAACAACAGTGGGATTTCACTTCACTCCAGAGACAAGAGCTACAATGAAGAAAACAAAGAGGATACAGACAAATATCCTGGTTTTACTGGGTTTTTCATTTGTTTGTTTTCTCCTTGAACAGAGTCTCACTGTGTAACTTTGACTGGCCTGGCTGACCTGGAACTTACTAGGTAGACTAGGCTGGCTTTATAGAGATCTCAGCTGGGATGGACCCTCAAGTCATTGCTATCATTCCATTACCAAAAATAACTTAATAGTAAGTCAAAAGCAGTGTAAGACCATCTTGATTTGAAATGGAAAAATACTAGAAGTTGTGGTAAAGTGCATGAGGTACTTCTTTGTTCTAGCATTTCTATGTGTAGACTTTACACTTTAAAAATGCAGCCGGTCCTGACTGAGACAGCGATGAGTCTGTACTGCACCTGAAGGATATACGGTGCTGGCACACACTGAAAAACTCAGATAGAGTTAAACATAAAAAACCATGTGCATACACTTTTCCTACTTTAAACAATCTGTCAGCCTTTACCAAATAATAATGAGGTAGAAACAAAGCTCTCTGTAAAAAGAAAGAGGGCCACCCTGGCTTCTCTAATCACACTGCAAAAGAGAAGAGCAATGGTGTGAATAGGAGTCTCTGAACCAGGTAGTTAACTAAGAAAATGCTCATGCCCTCCAACTATGCTGACAAGGCCCACCTCCGCTCCACAGCATTTAGAAAATGGAAAATAATGTAAACAACGGGGGAAAAGACAATATGGTCTCCAACTAGCTCAGATCTTTGAAGTTCTCACATAAAATGAACTCAGTGTTTAGAAATCTCACTCCGTGGGCTGGGGGTGTGGCAGTGATGGGGCACTTGCCTAACACACGTCCCCGGGATCGGGTCCAACAAAATTAAATAATCAAAACCACTCCTTCTTTTATAGATATCTATCATAAAAGCATTTTGACTGATGTAGTCTGCAGTAACTTTGAATTTAAGAAAAACAATTGATTCTAGCTGTCCATTTTGGCTTATGTTATTGCTACCAATGGAACTTTAAATGAGGAAGTCAGAAAAGACAACATCTGGAATCACTATTATAGTCTGATTGATCAAATCTGTTGTTTTAGAAGACAGAGGCAGGAAAATACATCAATACAAACAATCACAATGTTTTAGTTCCTCCACGTAATGTCCTATCTAGTTGTTGGTCCTACAATCACATTATCTCAAGTCTTAAAGAATAAAGACATTACCTCTTTAAGTTTACTGCGAATTAAGTCTGCCGTTGTATTTAAGGAGTCGTCCTGCAGATCCACGGAGGGGATATTGGGTAGCTTAGGGCCAATCAAGACTTCATTACGGCTCGCGTTTGTTTCAAAAGTTCCAAGCTCATGGTCACAGTCTCGTCGCCTCTTCCTCTCCTGCAGCTGCGTTGTCCTAGGCATGAATCTGCCAACCACCTCTGAGGTAGTGATGGCCTCTTGCACACTAGAGCAAGGTACTGAGTTTCTGTAAGTGTTCATCTGTAGTCCTGGCGCAAAGGCATTGCAGTCATGATGCTTCGGGAGTTCACTGTGGTGCCCAGCACTATTACAGGAGTCTGATGCTCTTTCCACATGCTCCTCAGGTGAACACGCACTCTTGGAGGCAAAATAGCATAAAGGCAATTCACAAGAATAAGGAAGACAAGGACTTGAGTTTGCGGGAGAAGTGTTTGAAGCTGTTGTACATAATCCAGTCATATGTGGATGGAAATCTTGTCTAGACTCTTTTGTTCCTTTTTGCTCTGGAGCCAGTTTCTTCTTTGTCAAGTAATAATCTTTAACGTTATATTTTTAAAAGTTGAGGAAAAGGGAAACAGGTCATTAATCGTTTTGGTCATTCAGAATCTTGTAATTCTAACAACAAACCTTAAACTGCTAACAAGCTCTACACCCAAAATTATACTTCTAGTGCAGGGAATGCATGGATAGTCGTAAGGCTTGTTCAAAGGACCAGGTGGGACACAGTGTCCTCTCACCCCACTTATCTATTACATTTTCATCTATCTAGAATGTCTCGTTTCCTCTGCAGCCTCCTTGTCTCCCTACTCATTAGATAGTAAGACCCCAGTTTCACATTCTCCACTAACTGTGCTCTTAGAGCATTTCCATGTTGCTGCACATTTAGTTCATATTGTGTTAGGAGAAACTCAGCCGGGCCAGCTGCTGATCAAAAGTCAGAACTTTCTGATGATGATCAGCACTTCCAACCAGTCTGCATTCCACAACTGCTTCCTGCTGCCTTCTTGTTAAACATTGGATCCCTTAGCCTGGGACATAGCACTTCATGATTTACTTCCCGGCTACTCTCCTAATCTCTCTCACTAAAACTTTGGTAACTCTGAAGGGCTTACAGCTCTGTAAATGTATGGTGGCAATTTATTTCTCTAAGTGTATAAGCAGGTAGCCTGGCTCACCTTGCCATCCTTTCTATGCCCCTTCTGGATAACATTTACTGAAATTCACCCATCTCCCACATCCCAGAGGAAACCTTCCATGAGTCAACAGCTTTCCCTCCTGGCTGAGACTGTACAGTGTCGCACAGAACCCTGTGGTTCAAGTCACCGCAGACCGCGACACACACACCAGCAGGATCTGACACACAGAAGGTGCTAACACAGACTTTCCATACCTTTGTTTTTAGTAACTCTTGCAATATAAGCCTTTCTTTCTTGTAGTTTTTTCCTAGTTTCTTCAACTGTCTCGAATTCTGGAGCATAGCACACATGCAGTAAGCCACCAAAGAAACTCTGCTCATCCATCTTCTTCTTAGCTGTCCTAAAGAGAAATGTACACTAGAAACACAACTTTCAAGAAATACAGAAATCACATGGCTTAAAAAACTATTATTTTTACTTATGTATGGGTGTCTGCCTGTGGGTGTGCACATGAGTACGGTTACCCAAGGAGGCCAGAGGTGAAGATCCCCTCAAAGTGGGACACTTGTGAGCTACCTCACATGGGTGCTGAGAACTAAACTCCAAATTTGAGTCCCCTGGAACAGCAATAGGTGCTATAGTAGCTTCTCAGTCATCTCCAGCCCCCAGGTGCATGGCTCCATCCCCATCACCACCTGAGACACAGTCTCACAATGTAGCACTGTCTGTCCTGGAACTCACTATGTAGCTCAGGCTGGCCTTGAAGTCACAAAGGCCTACGCTTCTCAAATGGTAGGATTAACGGCATGTGCCAATACAGCCAGAAAGAGTTTCTTTTTTTAATTATTTTAAATTTTCTGTACGTATGTTCAGCGGCTCTAGCCTGCAGCTAGAGTTACAGACACTTGACCTGGTTTCTGGGACTCACTCAAGTCCTGTGAAGGGGCAGTGCATGTTCTTAATCACTGAGCCATCTCTCCAGCCATGGCTTCTTAAATTTTTACTTACCTAAGATAAAAGATTTACAGATATTGCACAGATTGATTTAAGGATCAAAATGTGTGTGTGTGTGTGTGTGTGTGTGTGTGTGTGTGTGTGTGTGTGTTGGGTAAAATGCTTTGATTTTGGATGACCACACTGACCCAGAACATATTCTTTAAGAAAAAGGTTTATCTTATATTATTTGTATGTATGTGTGTCTGTACATGTGTGTGCAGGTGCCAGGTGGCCAGAGAGACCAGAAGAGGCAATTGGATCCCTTGGGGCTGAAGTTGCAAGTGGTTGTGAGCCACCCAATAAGGGTCCTTGGGAAATGAAGTCCAGTTCTCTGAAAGAGCAGCAAGCTAACCACTGAGCCATCTCTCGGCCCCAAGAAAGCATTCTTTCCTTTTCCTCCCCTAATAATGTCAATAGACTTTCAGTTAAGCTAGACACACTTACCTAGAATTGCTTTGAACTAACTCAGGATCATACTGGTTAGCCTGAGTTACAGAACTTGTGATCAAAATATTTAACTTTGGGCTGGCGCTTGCCAGCAAGACTAATGATATGATTTCAATCTCTGGAACTCACATGGTGGGAGATAACCATTTCCTGGACATATGTCATGAAAATACTGAATATATAACAACTAATCTTTGAGAAATTAACAACTCTATTCCTTCTGGAGCTGGAGAGGTAGTTAAGGGGTTAAGAGCACTGCCTGTTCTCCAGAGAACCCAGGTTCAATTCCTAGCATGGCAACTCACAACTTCCTATAACTCCAGTTCCAGGGCATAGTGTCCTCTTCTGCTCAGCAGAGTCCTGCCTGCATACAGGGCATATAAGTTCACACACCCAAACCACACACACATAAAAATAAAAGAGAAATAGCTAATTAAGAAAAGAATTGTATTCATTCAAAAAATATTGAAACTATGTGGAAGCAAGCACTCTAATAAGTAATCAAGTACTTCTGAATCCACAGATATGATTGGTGCTTACTGAGATATCACCCCATACAAAACCGCAAGTGCTTTACTTAAATTCATATCTCATAACCATCGCAAAATGAGAGCAAGGCACCAGAAAATTCATAATCGAGCCATATTTACACATTCATCTATAAAACTAAGATTCAATTCAGATGTCTGATTCCAGAGCCAACAGTATCAGGTTCTGTGGAGACGAAAAAAAAAAAAATAAAATAAACACTAGAAAGTATGCTTCCCTGACTAACCCATGAAGATCTAGCCAATTGGTGAAAAAAGACCCATGGCCTTTTGGAATCAAGTACTTTTGTGATGGACAAAGAAGTATGAGGGGCTAATGACATGGCTTGGCAATAAAAGCACCTAATGATTTCTGCAAAGAGCAGATTCCAATCCCAGAACTCCTGTTGGGTGGTTCACAACCCCTTCTAACTCCATCTCCAGGGAATTTGAAGCCTTTTTTTAACCAGAAAAATATATGAATAGCAAAAGCCAAAGAAAGATACGGTTTAGATCAAGCCACCACTGCCAGGCACTAATGTTTACTCTTCATAGAAGGTACCGATATAAGGCCTTTAAGGGCCATATGGATTTTTAAGAGTAAAAAAATATGCCTAGCAGGGTTAAAAAAAAAAAAAAAAACTCCAGTCATGAAAATTTCCAGGGCTGGAAATTTTCTTCAAATGTAATTCTTAATCTACCATACTACGGGTTCAAAAGCACAGATATGACAGGATGGAAATAGTATTTTTGTTAAGTTAGCCTTTTAAACGTTTGAAGGAAGAGCTGGAGTTACATCTCAATGTTGTGATTGACTAGAATATGTGAGGTCTGAAGGGATAAAAAAACAAAACCAGGAAGGTGGGGTGGAGTGGTACAGACCTTTAAACCCAGTATTCTTTAATCCCAGAACTTGAGAGGCAGAAGCAGTGGATCTCTGAGTTTTGAGGCCAACCTGGTCTACAGAGATGGTTCTAGGACAGTCAAGACTACACAGATAAACCCTGTCTCAACCCCCCTTCCCCCCAAATCCCAGGAAGATTGGGAGAGATAAGTGCTCTCATGATATGGATGTGTTTGGAAAAATCCCAGGGCCAAAATAAGAGCAACAGGACATGGGTACTGTTTAACTTGTACGTACCTTGCGCTTTGTAATTTCACAAATTTAATGAGATAAACTTCTGTAAAGTCTTCGGCTGGATATTCATCAAGAGCGTTATACTGTTCAATCGCACCATACAGAGCAAATCGCTCGACTAATTCCTTCATGGCTCCCACCGCAGGAACTCCTTGTATTAGTAAGTACCGAGATTCCAAATTGATTGTATATACCTAAAGGAAGGGGCGGTCGTTAAATGTACTCCTCAAAGAAGCCTATGGCAACTCTGACCCTGAGTTTTTTTTAAAAAATGGAGCTTTGAAAACGAGAAATACTCTGCTCAATATGGTCTGCATCGCATACACACAAAAGCGTCGTTCTTTCTGCCTAAAGGATGACACGCTCCACATAAAGGCATCTAACTACACCACTTAAGAGACGGAGAAACCCTGTCTCGGAAAACAAAACAAAACAAACGAACCAAAGACATCTTTTCCAAACGCTGGCTCCGGAGAAGTTACTGGGAACAGCCACTGAACACTCACCCAGCGCTTGTCCTACGTCAAGCGCTATTGTAAACACATAGGATACAGAACTAAAAACCGCGGAGTGACGGTCTAGTAAGTGGTTAACCGAGAGCAGTGATAACCTTTGGTACGTGGGCCCGGGTTCCTCGCGCCCCCTCCGCTGAGAGACGGACCTGACAGCATCCCTGTCGTGCCTTTAAGTAGGCTGGCCATGGGGAGCCAGTGCTCCTGCGAGGAGAGGGAAGAAACCGAAGTCACTCTACCTTGACGGCGCGAGGGCGTCGGCCCTCCCGGTATTTGGCCCGCGAGTCACACACAGGCGTCTGGACGTGGTGGTCGAAAACGCCTCCCGGCTTCCAGTCGCTGGACGCCATCTTGCCGCCTGTAGTCCTCGGCGCCAGAACAACATCCGCCGGACGCGCTCCTCTGTGTCCAATAAGAGAGCAGGATGGGCCAAGCGTGCTCAGGATTGGCTGGAGAATCGACCCCATCGACAATCGTTTCCTGAGAGCAAGACAGCCGTGAGCGACGTGCCGCCCCCTAGGGTCCGGGAGGAGAGACCCGAGAGGGACAGCAGCCGGGCATGTGTGTGTGTGTGTGGGGGGGGGGGGGGGGGGGGGGGGGGGCGGGGGGGGGGGGGGGGGGTGGCGGGACCGATCGATGTCCTCGGACCCCGACGCCCTGGCCTGACGGGAAGGGGGCGGACCCTGCTCTCCGGGGAGAGTTGAACCTCGCTCTGGACGATGTGGAGCAGCGAGCGCGTAGCGGGTGCGGGGTCTGGAGGGGCGGTCGCGACGGTGGCCTTCACGAACGTTCGGGACTGCTTCCTCCATCTGCCGCGGCGCCTCGCGGCCCAGCTGCACCTGCTGCAGGTAACGCGCTCGCCGGACGCCCGAGCCACGCCTGGGGGCGGACGCCGCCGACGTCCCTCACGGATGGTGTCCTCAGACACCTTTGCGGCCGGGGCGTGAGCGAGGGCCCCCCTCGGGCTCGGCGTAGGGTGGCCGCGGGCGCACGCACACCACCGACAGTGCATCCCCGAGATCCTGCAGCGGGCTTCCCAGTCCAGCCCTCGCGCTCGGTTGAACCAGCCTGAATTGGCTAGGCTTCTACCTCAGCATTCAGAAGCAGCCCTCGCCCTCGCTCCAGGTTGGAAAGCTCCACGGAGCTCTGAGGTGTTTTGTTCAAGTGTTCTCCCGCCAGCGAGCTGCCAGTGCTGCCACGGAGGTCTCGAGTGGCAGACTTGGTTTGTCGATTACGAAGGTTTCCAACCTGTGCCAAAGGTTAATAAAGTGACAGCTCCCCCCCCCCCCGCCCCCGCGGAAAGGGTCGTGAGTTAGGAAATTAGGTTGAATTATTTCATTTGAGTTGAAGCCCTGATAGTGCAGTAATGGGAGGAAGGGTTGCAACAGTGACCTTTATCTGGTTGACCTAAAGGTTTTCAGAATACAGATATTCTGGCTTTTCCTCAGACTTGCTGAACCAGAATCTTGAGGAACAGATTTTTTAAAGATCTGTAATAAATATTCAGGCTACTTGAATACACAGAATTGAGACCCATGGTTATAACGCCATGAAAGGCTAACAGTGAAAGGACCTTAAGTTATCTAGGTCATTTCCCTATTCTCAAACACAAGGATACCAGAAGTCCGAGGCCAGTTCGGTTTTCATGTAGCCAGTTTGCCGTCTTGTCCGCCCTCACTGGTGTCAGCGACACTAGCCTGCTGCTGTTTCTTACCTGACTGATCTCACTCCTGCCTCTGCTCTTTTGCTGGTTCTATGGCCCCCCACTAAAGTCCCCCTCCTTTCATATAAAGCGTGCCTTTAACAGTAGCATAATCCTTCTCCCACGTAGCTCTGTGGATCTCTGTTGGCCATAGTTATGTCCTTTTTAGGATTATTTGTCTATGTATTTATTTGTTTTCAACTCAGGTTTTCTCTGTGTAGCCTTGGCTGCCCTGGACTCACTTTGTAGACCATACCGTCTTCGAGTTCACAAACATCCACCTGCTTCTGCCTCCCAGAGTGCTGGAATTACAGGCGTGCACCATCACACTCAAGAACTTCATAATTTATATGATGTGTCTCATTTGTTACATATTATTTTGTTTTAAGCAAAATGTCTTTCTTTATTCACACAGTCCTTATTTAAGGACTGGTTCCAAGTAGATATTTAATGTAGAAGTTCTCAGTCAGACTGGACAACCCTTAGTTCTTGCTAGGTTTTCTGTTATTAGATAGGGACTCATTATGTAGTTCTGGCTGGCTTGGAACTCCCATGTTGACCAGGCTGGCTTCAGACTCAGAGAGATCACCTGCTTCTTTTTCCTGAGTGTGAGGATTAAGTGTGTGGGCCACCATGCCATCATGACCCCTGTCTACTAGATATGAGTAGTGTCTCCCATTGTGATACCCCAAACCATCTTCAGACACAAATGTCCTACAGGGACAGTCACTCCCAGATGAGAACCACTGCCTCCATTCAATCACCAGTATATTTTAATCTCAGGGTATGTTGTGATTGCAACAGAGAGGATTCCTACTGCGGCTGAATGCAGAAAAGAGACCTAAATCTCATCCAGAAATTGCCAAGCTTAGATTTGTCATTTCCTTATGTTAGCAAGAGATAGCCGAGGTCTTAGACCTAGGCACCCCTCAGGCATTTGATTGGTTCATCTGATTGTTTCTTTCATGGTGACATTGATAATACAATGTGGGCCAAAGCAAATAATCAGCACATTTCTTGTCATGAAAGGGACTCTAATCTCTCCATCAGAAGGCTTCTGTGGTTCTAATGAAAACCAGTGTAAAAGTCAGCTTAGGACATTAGTTTGCGCATTATCACTGAGTGTAGATCATGACATAGTGTAGCTTGTAACTACATTTCAGTCAACACCAAGACTGAAATGTTTTTCTTGTCTGATAGAGTTGATTTTTTTTTCCTTTTGTTTTCCCCTAGTGAGCTAGTAGATGTTTTAGACATTTCAGGCTGTACTTCACATTTCCTCCTTTAATGTCTCTGGGTTTAAAGCTTTCTTATGAAATAGGGGGAACTGAGCTGTAGTATCAGCAACTTAGGAAACCACATAGAAAGTGCCTGGGGCCTGGTTACCTTTGCTCTTGTAGTCTAGATTGTCACCTAGAACTTCTGACTTCAAAGCCAGGGCTTTCTTTTACTTTATCAAATTGTACTTAGCTCAATGACCTTTGTCAGCAAAACCAGTTGGATCATTGTTTGGATGTTGTGAGAAAAATTATGCAGCTAAAGGATACACAGTGGCTTTTGTTTTGTTTTGTTCTTTCCAGACAGGCTTTCTCTGTGTAGCCCTGGCTGTCCTGGAACTCATCTGTAGATCAGGCTGGCCTCAAACTCAAAGATCTGCCCACTTCTGCTGGGATTAAAGACACACCATCATGCTTGGCTAACACTGACTTTCTTATATACAAAAGTTTGCTAGTGAGTGTGTTTGAATACCTTATTGCCTCAGAAGGGACTCCAGTATTCTTTGCAATTTGTCCTGTTTAAAGAAATATGAAGTACTGAAATTTGGTGTAAATGAGAGAGTTCGGTGTTCAGTGTTTCAAGGGCAATTTATTTTGACATGGAGAAATAAATGTAATAACGTAAGCTTCTTGAGATAACAAGTCCTCAGGACTATCCATCAAGGTGCTGGTTTTTGTTTTTGTTTTTACTGAAAAGTGGTAAATGTGTGGAAATGTTTGTGCAATAGTAATAGTAAATAGGTAAGGCAATATTAAATCTTGTCCATAGTATACAAATGCACGAATCACTGACTAAAACGGGTTAGCAAGAAGTATACAAACTTGTTCATATGATTCTGTTTTTGTGAAAGGAATTTTTTTTTTCTTTCCAAGTACATGTATTTACCAAGATTCCTATGAGTGTAATTTTTTTTTTCAGAGACAGGATGTCACTCTGTAACCCAAGCTGACCTTTAATCACACTCTCCTGCCTCAGCCTCCCAAGTGCTAGGATCATAGACATGCAGCACCAACCTTGGCTGTATAATCCTTTAACTGTAGGGGACATTGGTCTTTTAATTATTAGCCACAAACTTAAATATTATGTTATTTTCATGTTGTGCTATTCTCAAATGTTTTTAATCTTAACGATTTATTTTTCATTATTTGTCAGTCTGTCTGTCTGCCACATGTGAGGGTACCTGTGGAGGCCAGACGAGGACAGAACTGGATCCCCTATAGGCTGAAGTGCAACAAGTACTCTTAACCACTGAGCCGTCTCTCCAGCCCAGTAGTGGTTGTTTTAAATGATTATAGGTTTTAAATTACAAATGTGAAGAAAGAGTGATTAACTATCTCTAGCACTTCTTTTGTTTGTATGTAGTATCATAGTTGCTTATCTGAATCCAGAGGAAAAAAACATTAAGGCTTTTGAACCCCTTTTCTCTCCTATTATTTGGATGAATAGAATCAAGCTATAGAAGTAAGCGGCGATCGCCAGCCCACATACTTGAGCTGGGTGGAAGGCAGACATTTTCATGATCAAGGTGAAAATGTGGCTGAAATTAACAGACAAGTTGGTCAGAAACTTGGACTCTCAAGTGGAGAACAGGTAAGCACAAAGTATGTTGGCGGTCACCTCCTTTTAATGTCGTGTCCTAAAGCTCAGGTATTCTGAAGAAAGATCATTTGTATGCTATTATTACGAGGCCAAGATACTGGGAAAAAAAAAAAAGCAAAACAAAACTATATTTTCTAAGTCGCAATCTTATCTTTAACATGCTTCCTACTTAATGTGGCACTCTAGTTGCTCATTTTCCAGTCAATTTTTGTGAAATTATTTTTGGTTTTTGAGTATTGGGTTTTCTTCTTATTTTAGAACTTCGTTTTAGTTTCTGTCACAATTTTATTATTTATTTTGTGTGCATATGTTGTTGATGGGATTGGGGGCAAAGGGAGTTGGCGGGGCTAGGAGGAGACCAAAGGGAATGCTTGTGGAATGTGGAGGTCTGAGGAGAATTTGCAGGAATCTCTTCTCTCTTCTTACCACAAGGCTCCCAGTGATTGAACTCAGATGGTCAGGCTTGAGGGCGTGGCCTCCACCCACTGCACCATCATCACTCTGGCTTCGTTTTACCTTCCCCCCTTCATCCTTCCTTCCTTCCTTCCTTCCTTCCTTCCTTCCTTCCTTCCTTCCTTCCTCCCTCCCTCCCTCCCTCCCTCCCTCCCTCCCTCCCTCCCTCCCTTCCTTCCTTCCTTCCTTCCTCCCTTCCTTCCTTCCTTCTTTTAAAGAGCTCACTATGTTGCTGAGGATGAACTCTGAACTCTTTGATTTTCCTGATTCACCCTCCTAAATTCTGGGATTGTGGATGTAGCTTGTTTATTATTTTTTCTAACAAAACTTCTCACCTCCCATGATCTTACTTGATTCAACAGGCAGTGTTTTTTTTGTTGTTGTTGTTTTCTTTTGTTTTGTTTGTTTTTTGTTTTTTTTTTTTTTACATTTCTGCCTTTCCCATAATTGTATTGTAGACCACAAAGCATAAGGACTTGTGTCTATATTTTGTTATATTATTTTCATCAGTTTATTAATTTTAAATACTTTAAATCTTCAATTTAAATATTCACTTAAAATTTGATTGAAAGTAAAAGTTCCATTTTCCCGTTCCATAAACCCCACTTTAGAATGTATGCTACTGTTTGTTGCGATCCAACTAGGCCTTTAGGATTAAAAGAAAAAACTCATACATATTTCCCATAATTTTTACTCCACAAAGTATATCACATACCTTTCCATGTACAGTCATCCCTGGGAATGAGTTGGAGTTACTTCCATGAGCACCCATGTCAAGGTCTTTAGATGTTCATATCTTTTTAATAATATGGCATGGTATTTGCCAAAACCTCTGCACATTACCAGGTTTTCTTTAAACCACCATTAGAGACCTAAAATCCTTAACTTGGCGTTTAGTGCCGTGTAAATAGCTTTATTGTTTAGGAACACTGCCAAGAAAAAGATGTTTAATACAGATGGCAGGTTTTTGGGGTTTTTTTTTTTTCTCTAGCATTTTCTCTCCACAGGTGGTGGAGTGTCATTAGCAGGAGCAGACAGTAGGTGCTAGCTCCCAGAGCCCCAGTGTCTTACTTTTCTGGAACTAGTTTTGTACTCTCTCAGAATCCTGAGTAGCCTGGGTGTCTCTTATGTGATGCTTGTGGCCAGGTATGCTTCAGACCTGGGAGTATTTGCATAGCCTACCAGTTGGACAGCCCACATTCAAAATTCTAAATCGAGAATTGCTCTAAAATGTAAAATATGAATTGCTCAGAAAGTTTCAGAGTTCAAAGCATTTAAAATTCAGGTTTTCAGGTTACGGCTACTTCTTGAGCCAACAGGGAATAAAATGTCAAAGCTGGACTCATCATGTCTGGAGGTGATACATTTAGGGTCTCAATAGATGGAGCCAAATTGTCCTCTATTGCCAGTTTCTCACAGCAGAATGTGAGAGTGCCACATCTCTTTTAACTTATTCTGAACTCGTGGATGGTTTTATTAATGCATGCTTTTGATGATTAAATAATTAAAACAGGTCATTCATGAGAAGTCCAGAAGCCTTGCAGTAGGCTTTTGTGTACCCTGCTTTTTTTGCTAGAATTTTGGTCTGTTTAAAGGAGGGAAGGTGGGGGCGCGTGTGAGTGTACATGCCTGTGGAGACCAGAGGTTGACATCAGATGTTTTTCTTAATTGCTCTCCACCTTCGGCCTTTGTTGGTTTTTTTTAAGATTTTTTTCTTCATCGTATGTCCAAATGCCGGTATGTGCATGGGAATATAAATACCCACAGCTGCCAGAAGGAAGTCAGATCCTCCCGGAACTGGAGTTGCAGGGGATTGTGAGCCATCTGACATGAGGGCTGGGAGCCGAACTCTAGTCGTTTGAAAGAGGACCTCCCTGCTTTTAGCTGCTGAGCCATCTCTCCTGCCCATCGCCTCTAGCTATTGAAACAGGGTCTTTCACTGAACCTGGAGCCTTGCTGGCCAGCAAGCCTCAAGGAGCAGCCTGTCTCTGCCTCCTCAGTGCTGGGATTAAAGAAGCCGTTTCTCATGGCTGTTTCTGTGTTGGTGCCATGAGGTGGCACACATAGCATGCACTTTGCTCTGTGTGTGTGTGTGAGAGAGAGAGAGAGAGAGAGAAAGGGGTGGTTTGCATGGTGTGTCTATTTACCACATGCATGCAGTGCCAGTAGAGGCCAGAAGAGGGCATTAGAGCCCCTGAGACTGGAGCTACAGAGAGTTGTGAGGTGCCGTATGGGTGCTGGGAATTGAGTCTGGGTCTTCTAGAAAATCAGCTAGTATTCTGAACCACTGAGCCATCTCTTCAGCCCCTGTTTTTTTATTTTTTGGTAGATCTGAGTCCATTGCTGAGGCTATCCTTGAACTGAGGGTTCTGCTTCTGCCTTCAGAGTAGCTGGGATTACAGGCACATTGCTGTCTCACTTGACTCTTAAACTTCTTTCCAGGAATATCTTTATTTACTTTTGAAAATATGTTGTGCTCGGATGTTTCTTTGTTCTGTAGTCCATTGTGAAACATTTTTTCCCCTAAAATGCTGAATATATCAAGGCCTTGCTCAGAATAAGTACTTAATATTTGTTATCTGAGATGTGTAAGAGGGAAGAGAAAGAGAGAAAGACAGAGGGACAGACAGTGACAGTAAGACAGAACCTTACCTAAGAGAGATTTTACTTTCTAGAGAAAACTCTTATAAAAGTAATCTTGCATGTCTGGCTTCTTTGTCCAGGTGTTTCTCAGGCCTTGTTCCCATGTGGTGTCTTGTCAGCAAGTTGAGGTGGAACCCCTCTCAGCAGACGACTGGGAGATTCTGGTAAAGAAAAGCTAAGTGTTGTCTCACTGTAAGGCTAACCCACATCTCGGCATCACTTGTTAGGTTTTCCTGGGCTGCTTTATGTGTCCCGAGTTAGTCTGAATTATAAGAATGACTTGGGAGAGAGCTAATGTATGACATGAAAACCACAGATGAGACAATCGTGTTTGGGATTAATTATTTAATTTGATTTGATTTCTCAAGACAGGGTTTCTCTGTGTAACCCTGGCTATCTTGGAACACACTCTGTAGACCAGGCAGGTCTCAAATTCACAGAGACCCACCTGCCTCTGTCTCCCGGGTGGGTGCTGGGGTAAAAGATGTGTGCCACCTTTGCTCAGGGGGATTAATTCTAAATAAGTAGACTTTAGCTTCTCTTGACACAGAAACAAAACAACAAAAGGTTAGCTTGGATCTTGGATCTTGGATCTGCCGCATATGTCCTATCGCATCATGCGTACTTTAAATATAACAATAAACTTTAAAAGGAAGAGTGGAGATTCCTTACCAGACGTGGAATGATCCGAAGGCAGCATGATCTAACCTTGCTCTCTGTCGTTTCTAGGAGCTACATGCCATTTCTCTTGAACAACATCTTCTAGATCAAATTCGAATAGTTTTTCCTAAAGCCGTCTTTCCCATCTGGGTTGACCAGCAGACTTACATATTCATCCAAATAGGTAGGTGATATTGTAATATTTGCTGTCATTCTCTACATTGGAGTGCCAAGTCTGAACCAGAGGTGAATGTGTACTAATGGGCTCTGTTTCCTACCCAGTTGCTCTGATGCCAACTGCCCCTTACGGGAGGCTAGAAACTAACACCAGACTCCTTATTCAGCCAAAGACACGCCAAGCCAAAGAGAACACGTTCCCAAAAGCAGGAGATGCACCCGGGCAGTTTCGTGGTTATGGACGAGAGCAGAAAGGAACGTCAACAGAATTTCGAACTAAGCAGCTCCATGTGAACACAGAGGGCGTCACTGGGTCTAATGGAACAGATCCAGAAGTCCCGAGTCACTCATCACTGAAGCCACGCTGGTGGACCGTGCTAGGGAGCATGTTTTCTCTTGGGCCTGACAGTAAACCAGAGGCATCCTGGGGCTCATTGGAAGTCGGTGCTTTCAGAACCATGCAGTCACAGGCTGTTCCTCTGGACAGTATTTTCAGAGTGTGCCAAGTTCAGCCTCCCAGTGTGCGCCACACACCCGCCACCTCTGTGTTTCACAAACACTGCACTGTCCATGTATTTCCATGGGACCAAGAATATTTTGATGCAGAGCCCAGCTTTACTGTGATCTACGCAAAACTAGTTAAGCTACACTCTCCAAAGCAACAGCAAGGCAAAAGTAAGCAGAGCATCCTGTCAGCCGAAAAGGAGAAGGCCCTGTCAGAGCCTGCAGATCAGAAGCAGATCAGCTCCATCCGAAGCGAGGAAGCTGGGAAGGCCTGTGTGCTGAAGGTCGTCTGGAATGGCCTGGAGGAGGTGAAGAATGCCACAAAGTTCACCAAAAGAATAGAACCTCTGCACCTTGGGAAAGTCTGGGTTAGTATGAGGTTTAGAATTTTGGAAGAAACTTGTTACGTAATCCTTCCCAGATTTTGAATTACAATAAATTGAAGACCAGTCAGTCTCTAGAAGTCTCCGTGTGGAGGAGTGTCTCCCATCCCTCTGTAGTCTTTTAGTACTTACCATCGTTTGGGGAGGTAAGAAGTTGGGGGGCACTAGAGCATTGCTTAAGAATACTCATTGCTTTTGCAGAAGACCCAGGTTTGATTCCCAGCACCCACGTGGTAGCTCGCAACCATCTGCAACTCCAGTCTGAGGGTTTCCCACATCCCCTTCTTGCCTCCATTGGTACCAGGCATGCTTATGAAGGCCAGACATACAGGCAGAACACACACATGAAAGAAAAGTCTAAAAAGAATTTTAAAGAATTGTTTAACATCTTTATTGAGATGAAAGTTAATGTGTACAATTCAATGTGTGCAAAAGTTGTTATTAGTATAATATTGTGTGGCCATCCCCGTAATCTAAGTTTAGAATATTTTATGAATGAGGGTGGGAAGTTTTACCCTTTCCTTTTTGGATTGAATTGTATCTGTGGCAGATTGTGATCAGGTTTAACTACTGCAGCTGTTTCAGTGGTTCTCAACTTTCACAAACAAATACAAGGACTTTTCAGACGGTCTTACTCTTACTATAGTCAAACCAAGTGACCGTGGAAGGACGTGAGACCTTTTTGGGGGTTATTAGGTTCTGAGGGGGAAGCCTCGAGTGCAACTGATGTCCTTTTGGGAGATGCCCTCTTGAGCTTCTTCTCCTCTCTTGCCCAGTGAGGGTGCAGCAAGCATGTCCTCACACACCAGGCCTCACCAGCCCAACTCTGCCAGTCCCTTGACAGTAGCCTTCCCAGTTCATAAAACAGGAATAATGAATTTCCACTGTTTCTAGGTCTCCCAGTATTCTGTATGTTGACTGAAGCAGCCAAGCAGGCTATCACAACTATGAATCAGTATGGTAGGACTGCGTGATGACCTCTGTACTTTCACTTGAATTAATAGGAAGTAATACCAAATTTAGGCTCTGAAGTACTTTAATCAGTCTTTGAGCAGTTTTATGTTCTTACTATTATTTTTAAATTGCAGATTCCAGATGCCCTGAGAAAGAGACTAAATATAGAAATGCATGCAGTAGTCAGAATAACGCCACTGGAAACCACCCCTAAAATTCCAAGATCTCTGAAATTACAACCGAGAGAGAACTTAGTGAGTTCAAACATATGTTGTATTAAAATTCTTTTATGAATGTTATAGAGTTGCTCATTGTTCATTAATAATAATGTACTTCTTTTTCATTGTGTTAAAAGTTACATAGTGTGATGTTTTAGCAATTTTCAAGTGACCAGTTCAGCTGTATTAATTATATTCATAATGTTGTGCATTGCACCCACTATTACCATTTCCAAAATGCCTCCTACACTGCAAACAAAAGCTTTGTGCCGCTAGACAGTGCCTCCCCACCCCTTCCTCCCCATCGCCTGACAACCGGCTCTCTGTTCTGTCTCTGAGTTACTTACTCTAGCAATTGTGTAAACATGGGGTCAGGCAGTGTTTGTCCTGTGTGTCCGATTTATTTGATTTCACATAATATTTTCAGGGTCCCCCTCTATTGTGGCATGTATGAGAGCTTCATCTATCATCTTGTGGATAACATTTCGCTATGTAATTGTTTATCCACCTAAGCACTGATGGAGATGTACATGGCTTCTACTTGTTGGCTCTTGTGATTAATGCTGCAGGGAGCAGTGAAGTATGAGTATCTATTTGATTCTCTACTTTCTTGATTATCTCTTTGGGTATATACCTAGAAATGGTATGTGGATTTGTGGCCAGTACAATATTTAATGTAAGAAGCAGCAAAGAAATCATTAGTAAGCAAATATGAATGCATCAGTGCAAATATGGCAATTCTTTTCTTTTTAATTGATATTTTGGAGTTAGGGATGTAAGTCAGTTAGCAGAATGTTTGTCTAGCACACACAAAGTCTAGGTTTGATCTTCAGATGCACTCAGGGATGGATGGTCCATGCCTGCATACCAGCACTTGGGAGGTGGAGGCAGGAGGACCAGACATTCAAGGTCATCCCCAGCTCCACAGAGAGTTCAAGGCCACCTTAGCAACCTGAGGAGAAGGTGCCTTTTCTTAGCCTCCTTTTGGTAATGACAGGTTCTAAGCTGAGCTCAGCCAGCAGGTGTAAGCTTGGCTATGTGAAGAGAAAGAACAGAAGCAGACCTGTTTGAGAACTGGGAGAGCGCAGGTTACTTTACTGGGAAAATATAATTTTTTTCTGTGTGATTTGTATGTGTGTAAACACATAGCATGTGCACATGTGGGCAAGCAGGTATGTGTGCTCATATGTGCATAGCATGTGGAGGCCCGAGAATAGCCTCTGCTGTCATTCCTCAAGGGCCATCATTTTGTTTTTTGAAGCATTGTCACACATTGGCCTGGGACTCGCCAGCCCAGAGCCTAAGGCATCCATCTGTCTCCTCACCCCAAGGTTGGGACTATAGTTGTGTTATCACACCTGGCTTTATGAACATGGCTTCCTGAAGACTGAGCTCAGGTACTTGCACTTGAAAACTATCATCCCAACCCTATATGAATTTTGTTAGTCTAGTAATGCTATTGAATGTCATTTATGAACTGAATTTTAGTGTAAAAACTATAAAAATTCGCCAGGGTTTCTTGTAATTTATTTTGGATTTTTGAACAATACTGCACTCATTTAGGATAGCTAGACTGTGGTCCACATAAGAAAAGGAAGAGTGGCTTAAACACATAAGGCACTTAATTTTCTCATGTACACGGCAGGCTGAAGGCACTCATAAGTGGTTTACCGTGTTGCCAAAGACCTAGGCTCCACATCGTTTTCTCTTCTGCCATCCTTAGCTGTGCCTTGGCTCCTTCAGATACAAAATGCCTGCAGTGCTTCTGAGTGTCACGTCTGAATTTCATGAACCAGTACAACAAACACGGCCCGCTGCCTTGCTGAGTCTCTTCACCTTGTACTGGGAAGAGAGGCTCTTCCTGGTTGCTGACTGCGCACCGTTGGCCACAGTGAGGCCACATACACTTGGTATTTTTCTCACTGGGCAGACAGGAAAGGGTCACTTATAACTTGCTGCTTGTATAAATGGTCCTCATCACCCCACCATCACAACAGGTCACGCGTCTGCATGTACACTCTGAGCATCCTGTGTTGGTTACATTTGGTAAGACTTTACCTTTTGTTAGAGAGACATGTCAAAACAAGCATGTTAAGCTTACGTCAGGTATTGGGATACGCGTCTGCATGTACACTCTGAGCATCCTGTGTTGGTTACATTTGGTAAGACTTTACCTTTTGTTAGAGAGACATGTCAAAACAAGCATGTTAAGCTTACGTCAGGTATTGGGATACTTGATTACTCTTCTGTCCTTTTCTCTGGTAGCCTAGAGACATGAGTAAAGAAGATGTAAAAGCTGTGTTCTCATCTTGGCTACAGCAGTCTGCTACCACCAAGCTCCCTTTGATAATATCAAAGGAAGAATGTATTAAGCTGGAAATTAAAGATGGTAGGTACAAGTGTGGTTTTTGTTTGTCCTACTTCAATAGCTGTAACATGTAAAATTTTTTAATTGTCTTTCCAACTTGTGTCACACGTGAACAATGAAACCTAACAGTATTGTCTGTTGAAGAATGTCTTTAAATAAGTTTGATATTTCAAATCAAATTATTTCCTCCCAGTTTCAGTTCTAACTCTTCACTTATCACTTTCTTCTTAATAGGGTTAAAAGAGTTCTCTCTGAGTATAGTTGATTCTCAGGAAAAAGATAAGGAACCAGGAAGCACTGTGTTTGTGTTGAGTGCCATTCTGCTGCAGAAGATGTCAGTTCAGGTAATGATGTGTAAAGAATCCAGGCTTGTTCTCTGTGACTAATAAAGTAGGAGTTTCTGTCTGTAAGCTTCCATCCAGAAGTAGACTAAAAGCCACATGGAAAGAGTAAGGAATAACTTGATTTTAAATATTTTACTCTATAATTTATCTAAATAAATTACTGATTTATCCTAAAGATAAACATCACTTAAGCACAATTAAGTTTCAAAATTACTGTTGATTGTGTAAACTGGTAAATGGGTCATGATTTAAATGTATTAAACAAATGAAGATTTAGTTTCAGAGGACTGATCTTAAAAGTTCCTATTTGGGGGCTAGTGAGATGGCTCCGTGGGTAAAGGTGTTTTACAGACAAACCCGGCAACCTGAGTTCCACCCCAGGAAGCCGTGCAAAAGGTGGAAGGAGAAGGCCGGCACCGCTAAGGTTGTCCTCTGACTTACGTGCACGTGAGCCTCCTCCTCATTGTAGTGCACACACATACAAACACAAACACACACACACAGTTGTCCTCTGACCTCCACATGTGCATGTGAGCCACCTCCTCATTGGAGTGCACACACACACACAAACACATAGACCTCAAAATTGTCTTCTGACCTCCACATGTGCACCGTGCCACATGAGCCACCTCCTTGTTGCAGTGTGCGTGCACACACACACACATAATAATTTTTAATCCACACTGTTACATGCCATTTTGTTATATTATTTTGATGGTTGTTAAAACTGTCTACTCATCACAAATACCACACAGCTTTTCTTCCAGAGGTCTCTGGCTGCTCGTGTTTGTGGAATACTGTTGTCTAGGTGCTACTAGTTTCTGCGGCATTGAAGCTGCGCCAGCTGTTTACAGTTCCAGCGGTTTGGAACTAAACACTTCCTTTTATCTCCGAACTGCGACTGAGGGCACACCCCTCAGATGAGGTGCAAATGTTAGAGCTGTGAAAGAGTAATTATGACAAATGAAAGAAATACGTAAAGTGTCATCAGACAGCGTCAGTCATTCTGCTTGTCTGTGAATAACTGTGTTCCATGTGTGAGTACCTTGTTGTCAGTGTGTTTCAGACCATGTTCCCAGCACTCAGCATCTACTTTCTGTTGTGACAGAGTTGGTGATTCTTTTTCTTCTGGAACTCAGGAAGCAGGCAAAAGACATAACCGTGAAATGTAAAACTGGCTTTTCCTTGCTGCTGTAGGTCCTTCTAGAGCCTATGATAAGAGAAGAAAACAGTGAGGAAATTGACTTTCTTCTTCCCTTTTTAAAGCTGAACTCTTTGGGGTAAGAGGTTATGGTCAAATTAGTATGTTTACAGACTGCTTGGATTCTCTCTGGCAAGCTTTATGTTAAAGTGACCAGGAATGCCAATGAAAAGTCTTTCTAATGCATGAGGAGACAGTTTTTAAGGGTTATTTCTGTACTCACACATAGGTTAGATATTTACCCTGTCTCCTTAAGCAGCTGGTTTTCTTAGAGATACTGCTTTGAGAATTGACTTGTGAGAAGAAAATTAACTGAATACCATCTGATCATTGTACTTGACCAAAACAGTAGTTATTGAAACAACTGAAAGTATTGTAATAGCTAAATCTAAAACATTGTTGAGTGGTGAAAATATTTCAAATTAAGTTATTCCTTGACTATTTTATTGTAATAATTAGTTTTTTTTTTTTGGACTATTTTCTCGTTTTCAGAAAAAATGAATTTGAAAACAAAGCCCTCTTAGTTTATTCATGTGCTGTCAGTAGCAGTGTTAGCATGAGAACTCACGTACTTAAACTGGACAGGAGACCTGTCTGACTTCCTTTCTACTGTTTTAGTGACAGAATTAAACCTTGAAGAGGTTTAAGTGTCACAGTGTGCATTAATATGAAGTAAAATTAAAATCTCTTCAGATTCCACCTGTAGGAGTTTTTTTTTCCCTTTTTGTTTCCATGAGTAAAATCAAGATAGAAATCAAGAAATAGTGTGGATTCGATGCTGGTATAAGACAGATTGAAGTTTAAGAGGAGCCGAGTCTTTGATTATCCCAACAAGCCCTTCCGAACCACCTGTTTTTGATAATGTTGATGACCAAACTACAAGTGATTTGAGGATGGGGCATTTAGGGATTGTAGCAGATCCGATAAGTACCCTTTAGAACAAACATCAGTTACTGCAAATGTCTCAGACATTGAACTTATTTTTAAAAGCTGCATATCAGACACAGGGTCCCGCCATTAGTCTAAGTGAAGGAGCACTTGAGGATTTTACTCCTTGAGCACTTCTGGGTAGCCCAGAAAGGAAAGCTGAAGCCTTTGATAGCTAGGTTTTACCTTGCTGTGGTCTTTTGTCACATAAGAATGTATGTGTTTTGCAGTGGAGTGAATTCCTTAGGTCTATCCGCCATGGACCATATCACTCACAGCCTCCTGGGACGCCCTTTGTCTCGGCAGCTGATGTCCCTTGTCGCAGGACTTAGGAATGGTGCTCTTTTGATCACTGGAGGAAAGGTATGTGGTTAACGTTTTGTGTTCCTTTTCACTAGCTAGTAGCATTTCGTTCTTTTTTTTTTTTTTTTTTTATCCTGGCAAATTTATTTAATTTTTTTGAAAACAGATTTGTTTTCATACAATATATTGTGATTATGGTTTCCTCTACCCCAGCTTCTCCCAAATGTCCCCACCCACCTAAACCCACATTCTTTCTCTCTTTCATTAGAAAACAAACAGGAATCTAAAATGATAATAATGATAATAATAATAATAATAATAATAATAATAAGTAGATAAAATACAAACAAACCTAAATGGGACAAAACAAACAGGAAAAAAAGCACAAAAAAATACAGACAATGATGAGACACATACATTCACACACATAGAAAACTCATAAAAATAAAATATAAATCTGTATGATATAAGCAAAATTTAATCAGAAAAGGATTTAATTTAGAGCATTAAGTAAGTCATAGAATCTTTGTGGGCAGAAAGGACCTAAGAACATAGTCCTCATTCTGCAGAGATTAGTATTAATCTCTTATGGAAGAATGAGAAGTGGTTTCTCTAAATTTTTTTTTTTTTTTTTAAAGAAAGGGGGCTATTTTTTTAAATTTATTTATTTATTATTTATACAGAGTTCTGCTTACATGTACACCTGCATGACACAAGAGGACACCAGATCTCATTACAGATGGTTGTGAGCCACCATGTGGTTGCTGGGAGTTGAACTCGGGACCTTTGGAAGAGCAGTCAATCCTCTTAACCTCTGAGCCATCTCTCCAGCCCGAGAAGTGGTTTCTCCTACCACATTAGCAAGTTACAAAGAAACTGGTAACAGCTTATACTGCTTATACCTGTTCTTCCCAACAACAAAATAAACTCTTCATGCTCACAGTTGGCTGAATCCTAGTAACAAATCTTAGGCATGTACACTTGATTCACACAACATAAATCTCACACACACAAACACACAAAGAGAGACATATGTATACATACATATATCCCTAGCTGCAAGAGAGCCTCCACATATTACTCAGGGCTCACTGGTCTCTGGAGCACAGGGAGAGAGTATACAGGATGATTAAAATGAATGTTCATCCAGCCCCAGTATCCAACACAGGAGGTCAAGCCATGCACCTTTGTCATGTTTCGCCTGGCAAAAGCTGTGCCTTGTTTTCTACCTACCATTTTAATTCCATTTTTAAATTACCACAGAAGAAAATTTAAGTATAAGAGCCATAGTTCTTATCTCTTTAGATTTTGCTTCTTTATTCTAAAGAGCTTTTAATATGTGATAGAAAACACAGTCATACATTTATTAATATTTTGGGGGCCTGTTAAGTATTAGGGAAGTAATCATGAATTCATATACCCTCTTGTCTTATTAGGATTTTATTGCTGTGGAGAGACAGCAGCTCTTACAAAGGAAAAAATTTAACTGGGGCTGGCTTACAGGTTCAGAGGTTTAGTCCATTATTGTCATGGTGGGGAGCATAGTAGCATGCAGGCAGACCTGGTTCTGGAAAAGAAGCTGAGAGTTCCACATCTTGATCCAAAGGCAGCAGAAGGACTGTAAGCCACTCTGGACGTAACTTGAGCACAAGAGACCTCAAAGCCCAACCCCACAGTGACACACTTCCTCCAACCAAGCCATAGGATGAAGCATTCAAACATATGAGTCTGTGGGGGCCATTCCTATTCAGACCACCACACCTCTCCACCCTTCTATGTCAGTGATGAGACTATGACTTTTAAGGTTTAGGCTGTTGGGGAGGTTGTTGATAGTATTGGTAAATTTTTAAAAATAAATCCCACTTGGTTGTGGTGATCTTGTGTGGTTTTACTGTCAGCGTATTATGGGCTCATAAAAAGAGCTATCAAGTGTCCCCTCCTATCTGTGGGGAGGAGACTTTAACATTGGCATCCATTTATTTTTTTCAACGCTTGTTAAAATCTGCTGCAAACCCAACCCAGCCTGGAGAGTCCTTAATGCAATAGCTTTTGAATTCCAAATTTCAGATTCCTAATGGTTTCAGGACTGCTCGGGTAGTCTGCTTCATCTTGACTGACAAGCAGTTAATGGCTTTAAAAGATTTGGTCCAGTTCTTCTACAGTGTCAAGTTTATGAGCATAAAGTTATTTGCTCTTATTTCCCTTTAGCTCCAGATTCCGGCAGGATCTGTTGTACTACTCTGTTGCCTGACATCAGAGATGTTTGTCTTCTCTTTTTAGTTTTACTGTCTTGGTTGAGGCCCTTGACCTCTTAAAGAGGCATACTGCCTTACTCTACCAATGCTGTGCTATTTCTTGTGCCCCAAACCCAGTGTGTTGTGGTTGGAGAGATGCTTCATTGGTTCAAGTGCTTACTGCTTTTGCGGAGCACTGGAGTCAAGCTCCCAGCACGTATATTGTGTGGCCCACAACCACCTGTAACTCCAGCTCCAGATGATACTGTGCTCTCTTCTGACCTCCACGGGCACCCGCACTCCCGTGCACCTTACATAGACACACACACATACTACACATGCTAAAAACAAACAAACAAACTTAGCTTCTTTGGATCTGTGAATTGTAGTATGGTTATCTGTAATGTATAACTAATATCTGCTCATAAGTGTATACACCATGTGTGTCTCTCGGGGTCTGGGTTACCTCACTCAGGATGGTCTTCTCTAGTTCCATCTATTTGCAGGCAAATTTCATGATGTCATTGTTTTTAATAGCTGAGTAATATTCCATTGTGTAAATGTACCACATTTTCTTTATCTGTCCTTAGGTTGAGGGACATCTAGGTTGTTTTCAGTTTCTGGCTATTATGAGTGAAGCTGCTATGAAGGTAGTTGAGCAAATGTCTTTGTTGTACGGTGGAGCATTTTTGGGTATATGCCCAGAAGTGGTATAGCTGGGGTCTGAAGGTAGAACTATTTCCAATTTTCTGAGAAAGTGCCAGATTGAGTTCCAAAGTGGTTGTACAAGTTTGCATTCCCACCAGCAATGGAGGGTTCCCCTTTCTCCACATTCTTGTCAGCATATGCTGTCACTTGAGTTTTTAATCATAGCCATTCTGATGAGTGTAAGATAGAATTTCAGAGTCGTTTTGAATTGCATTTCCTTGATGACTAAGGACATTGAACATTTCTTTGTTTCTCAGTCATTAGAGATGCCTCTGTTGAGAATTCTCTGTTTAGCTCTGTACCCCATTTTTTAATTGGATTACATGATTTGTTGCTGTTTACCTTCTTGAGTTCTTTATTTATCCTGGATATTAGCCCTCTGTCAGATATAGGGTTGGTAAAGATCCTTTCCCAATCTGTAGGCTGTCATTTTGTTCTGATGATGGTGTCCTTTGCTTTACAGAAGCTTTTCAGCTTCATGAGGTCCCATTTATTAACTGTTGTTCTTAGAGCCTGTGCTGTTGGTGTTCTGTTCAGGAAGTTGTCTCCCGTGCCAATGAGTTCCAGGATGATCCTCACTTTCTCCTCCAGCAGATTTAGTGTATTTGGTTTAATGTCAAAGTCTTTGATCCACTTGGACTTGAGTTTTCTGCAGGGTGACAAATATGGGTTTATTTGCATTTTTTTACTTGTAAATATCCAGTTAAACTAGCACCATTTGTTGAAGGTGCTTTCTTCCTTCCATTGTATGGTTTTGGCTTCTTTGTCAAAAATCAAGTGTCTGTAGGTGTGTGGGTTTATTTCTGGGTCTTCAGTTTTATTCCATTGATTCACCAGTCTATTTCTGTGCTAGTACCATGGTGTTTTTATTACTCTTGCTCTATAGTACAGCTTGAGGTCAAGGATGGAGATACCTCCAGAAGATCTTTTGTTGTACAGGGTTGTTTTAACAATTCTGTTTTGTTTTTGTTTTTCCATATGAAGTTGAAAATTGTTCTTTCAAGGTCTGTAAAGAATTATGTTGGTATTTTGATGGGAATTGCCTTGAATCTATAGATTGCTTTTGCTAAGATGGCCATTTTTACTATATTAATCTTACCTATCCATGAGTGTGGGAGCTCCTTCCATCTTTTGCTACTTTCTTCCTTCAGAGACTTGAAGTTCTTGTCATACAGGTCTTTCACTTGCTTGGTTAGAGTTACAAGATATTTTATTTTGTTTTTGGCTATTGAAGTGCCCCTAGGGTATCATAGCCAGTGGAAGAACAGAGGCCATCTCTATAATGTGCTTATCATTGTTTTAAGTTTTAAGTTTTGTTTCTCATCTGTGTTCATTGGATTAGCCTCACTTAAGGGAGAAGAAACATACATGAGAACTGCCTTACAAACGTGAGTTATTGTGAGTTGGAAGACAAGGCCACTGACGTGATGATATGTCAGGTCTATAGTCCAGCACTGTAATGTTTTCGGTCTTTAAAGACCATTAAATTTAAATGTGGTACCAGTTCTGTAAAAGACAACAATGATAGTACATATTAGTTGAGTGCTTTAAATTTTAAGTTTCTCATGTCAGATTTTGCTGGGGTTTGCTAGTAATCAGAACAAAGTATATGACCTGATGCAACAGTATTAGACTTCAGAGAAGTGGCAGAAAGAAGAAGCGATAATAGACTGAAAGAAGAAACTGATAATGAAAGAACTGTGAAAACCTACCAGATTTAGCGGTGCTATACTATAGAAATGATTAGCAGAAGCTGAAATGTGCTGCCTTCTGATGTCATAATGCCACTTCTTTCTAGAAGCACACTGACAGATCACTAAACATGTATTTGTTTGGATGCTTCTTTTGACTTGATGATGGCTAAAACTGCAAAGAGCCTATTATAGGTAATAAAGCGTAGAACAGTAACTTGTTAGACAGCTTATGTAAAAACATAAAATTATAAA